TTAGGTATATTCAAATTGTCATAGTTCCACTTTTTTACTTATACTCGTATACAGATGTTAAGCAAAAAATGTGTCTTTCAAAAGCTTGTAAACACCTTCTCAATGGTTTTTTTACACTCAAATGCACTTTTTTTTCAGTATAATTAAATTATGTGCTTAAATTTTAGTTTGCATATAATTGTGTAAAAGTGTACGTCATTTGACTTGTCTCAACATGTTAAAACATTCCCTGTCTCACCAACAGCTCAGGTTGTTTTTCTCCATTATCAAATAAAAATCATATAGGTTTATTACCAATGAACATAGATACTGCAATATACATAAAAACTTATGTGATATAATAATTTGAATATTTTTTCTGTTTTTGGGAGGTCAAAATCTGTAAGAAAATGTAAAAAAATCCTATGCAGTTTTTTGGTCGCAGACCTGTTGAATCAACCATATCATAAAATGATTTAATTTGGAGCACATTGAAATCTTCCAAAGTAACACCATTATTCCAAAAAAGGAATAAATTTTCTGTGGATGATTACTGTCCAATTATCTGGCAGATAATGGAAATAATGTTGAAGGAGAGGTTTTACAAATATTTTGAAAACAGATTGTATGTTATCGAGTCGCAAAATGGATAGAACTAAATTCAGCAAAGAAGTGGTCCATACTGAGTAAGCTTAAACTAAATGAAGACAAAACCTAACCTTTTTCAAATATTAATTATCAAAATGTTATATTTCTAGGAATTACTCTTAATGACAAATTGCTGGTCTAGTTATAACATTAACAGAAATTCATCAAAACAGTGAATTGTTACCAGTTATCAACTGATTGACTTTTTGCTATAGAAACTCGCTGAATGTTGATATTTACAATATCACTCCATTGCATCCCAATTCAAAATGGTTCTGAAGAAGCTTCTACTGGAACAGTCCTTTTTTTTATGTGAATGAGTATATTCACACATTTTGATTCATATCAATTTTCCAACAAATTGCCATGACCTATCTTCCTAATTTAAAACTTACATCCATTCATCCACTTAACATAATAAATTGACACCCAATTTAAAGCCAAGTCCAAAACAAATTTTACGGATTTTTTGAAAATTATATTATATAATATATTGTATGTTTGGGGTGATAAACTGAAGGAAATGTTCACTAGTCTCGTTGGTATCTGCTTTGCAGGTCCTCACCAGAACAAAAATTCTGTCTCTGGACCCGTGTTTTGCTAACCAAGTTAGAAACCTGATGGCATCATTAGGAAATGACTAAGTCTTAGTCATATTTTAGTACCAATGTATATAAGTGACATTTTAATTTGAATGCTTCTAAACAGTTGATATTTTTGAAAGTTCTCTTAGGGTATTATTTCTAGTTGTTTGAAGAAAAACCTATGTTGACCAAAATAGAAATACGACACAAAACTGGTATAACAATGGACATGTCTAAAATCATTCTTCCAGCAGTTGCCTATTTCTGTTCCGCTCGCCCATGGCGCATGGTTTGGGCGAGATTTGGTTATAACCCGCTGAAGGACGTCAACTCTAGGGTATACCAAATTTTGGATTTCCGAATAAGATCTAAAGGTAAGAAAACTGCATCTTTCCAATTCACCCGATTGTTGAAATTAATTTGTTATTTACAAATATTACGAATATGCTAATGAGATAATGAATCAAATTATATTGAATCAAAATGAGCTTCATTGTCTTAAAGGGAAACTCTTGTTCAAAGCAAAAGGACTATTTGTAGGACAAAAATTATGAGCTGTTTTTCCGGGTTTTGCTCCGTGTTCTGTGTTTTTGATCCTCACAAGGAATATCTCCACAACGTTTCAATATAATAGTATCATTTCAGTACCGGGCAGGCGGTCCTCGATTGAAGACAAAATAAGAAAAAACCAAGAAAGTACTTGATATCATACTTTGACATCAAGTTGGTGACTTAGGAGAAAATTTGATGAAACAAATTTTGACATACCGAAACCAGAGCACTATCTCTCAATACATGTTTCTTCAATCTAGTTATTAAGATCATATATTTTTTTACAGCTGGCACAACAATCAAAGTCAATGCTAAACGACCATATACAAAACAACTGGGAGTTTTAGCATCTCTACCAAAGAAAGTGTCATCCTCAGGCTGTTCCTCTGAGGATAAAAACCAAGACTTCCTAGAAGAAAGGAGCTACATCTTGAGCCCTGAGTATATTCCTCCAGCTAGGCAAATGTTTTACCAGGTTTTGTAGTTTGTTTTTTTTATTGATAATTTCAGGATTATTGTTAATTTTAGTTCTGCAACATTAAAATTCCTGAAATACAAGAGATGTTCCAACGTCTTCCGAAATTGTCAAGCCATCAGAAGTTAGATCCAAAAACTGGCTGGTTGCCCATGAATTTCATCGAACAGTGTCGGGAGATAGCCAACAAATACGTCATCGATAGGGTGCACCAGGAACTGATTGAAGACAGCATTAGGCTGCAGGGGCAACAGGAAGATACAGAGTTGCAGGAAGATGAAGTAAGGGACATGCTTTTTGACTGGCCTTTCTTGTATTCTCCCATCAAATATAAGTTCAGTGTGTTAATTGAAACACTTTTTTCAATTCATTGATGGTTCTCAACAGGAAACAAGAGAATCTACTTCAGCTCACTGTAGCAGGATGTTGGGCAATATGAAAATGGGGATGTACAGTAGCTTCAATAAGTTTCCGGTTGGTGGGGAGATCAGTTTTCAATCCCAGGATTCACCTATGATAGTGGATACTGTTGAATTGGAAGACAGTAAGTCTTTCTTGGATTTTTTAATTGAATTAGCAGATTTATCTGTGTTACCATTAATACAGCAAGTAAGTGAAAACGTTTTTATAAAAATTTTTTTTTTCCAGGTCTGATTGGTGAAGAAGTAGATATGAATGACGTTGTCAACTCCATACCAGAAACGATGCCAGAAAATTCTGATGATGAGAATCTCAGTCAGTGCTCAGATGGAGAGATAGACCTGGAAACAGCGGATGAAATTAACAAACTGATAGAAGCAACCAAAAAAAATTTGGAATTTCCACACAAATGATGATTGTTATATATAAATGTTATAATGAAATTTGTTATTCATTTTCAAGCATTATGACGATTTTATAAAGTTTTTAAATGTTTGAATAACATTATTTGAATACCACATTCGATTTATTATCAATATTTTCCTGCAATTGCTATTCAATTTCTTACACTGTAGTCCTATGGAAAAAAAATTGCCAGTTATTTTTTAATTTGATATCTTTGAATTAATTCGTTTTTCAATCATAGTTTTAATTTTTGAAAGACAGGTGTTGATTTTCTACTTTTCCATCTTTGTGCAAAAAATGTGGGAAAACTTCCAAAGGAAGGTAGCAATTATTTCAAAATTAACTTTTACAAAGATGTGTAGGTCATGCATAGAAGTTACTTTTATATACAAACTTGAAGAAAAAGTCCTCTCGAAACACATTTTCATGCAAACATTGAATTACATGAAAGGAAAAATACTTTCGAAAAGGACACTTGTCTTATTACCTCATCAGCACCAATATGGATATTACAAGATGAAGCACTCAATTCATTCATAACATTGACTTAATACCTGAATGAGTTGTTTCCTTACTTATTTTTCATTTCCAGGATCCCAGTAATAAGACTTGGTCATGATTTGTTATATTTTTGAAAATAAAATACGTTTTTAATTCGTTTTTCTTAATGAATGTAATTTTTAAGTCAAGTCGGAAAATCATGTAATATAATTGTATACTTTATTTCATCATTCATTCGTTTCCGCACTAGACCAACATGGAATAAAATTGTTTACAAATGGATCCCATTAAAAACTTTTTTATCTTTATCAGGGCACTGGCCTCCGAGGGGCATGGGGGGGTTTATTAATGGGAAATACAGTTCCTTCATTGGAACACTCCATCTGTATACTGATCGCTTATGGAACATTATGCTTATCGCGGCCTCGTGGGTGCTTTGTTCATTTAGTTAATCGGCCGATGTGTGAGGCGATGGATCAAGCCGCAGGCTGATTGCTCGATTTTTACTTGCTATTGTCCAACCCGTGTTAGGAATCATACGTTAAAAGGTAAGGCCCCGTTAGTCCTTAGCTCGCACAAGTTTCGACTTCTGAGGGTAGTCGTTCTTAGGGGTGCGATAGCTGGTTAACGGGAAAACATTTTATTTTTTTAATTGTATTCAGATTATTCGTGTTTTTCAGGTGGACCTTATTTTTCGAATTGTGCATGGTTTTAGCCTATTTGATGTGAATATATTTATCCACGTTACATCCTATCAAATGATCTGATGAAATGTACAGAGGGTTATAGTTCAAATTTTGACTTGGGTTAATTTTTTGTTCAACCTGTAGATTTTCAATTGTTTCATCAGTAGAAATATGGGCTTGATGAACTATACGTCAGATTCTAATTTCAAATGTCTTTTTCCACAAATAACTGAGTGGCACTGTGTACAACGAATTCGTTATCACCCGGTATATTTATTTTATGCGCTCACTTAGTTATTTCATTAGACATATTCTTGTTTGTGATGTTATAGAATTATTGTTTTGTTTCGTGTAATTAACTGATTGTAAGCTCATTTTTCTTTACATTATTTGCTTTTCAGTTTTTATTTCATGTAGAATTTTTATCTTGTTTGGAGTGATCTCATTTATTTATTTTATTTTTGTGTTTGTATTTAATTTTTTGTAAATTTTATGAAGTAAAATTTTTATTTTCTTTCATGTATCTAATTTACCTTATGACAAATCATTTGAATAAAACATGAAAACTTTTTCATTTAGAACTCAACCTAATAATTGACTGCTTTGAATATCGACCAATACCGCCAATTCCAATTTATCAGAAAATATTATTCTAATAAAAAAAAAAACCGTATTTTTATATAATTGGGTGTAATACATATGCCAAAAAGACCCATAATAGCTTGTTGATGATATCTCACATTGAGGATGATGGATAAAACAGCATATACTGATCAGATTTAATATCAATAAGTGTAGGGGTACCGCAGGGAAGTGTCTTGCGCCTATATTGTTCTCTTTATATATAGCAGATATTGTTAAATACCTAGATGAATACAAACTAACACTTTGCGCAGATGATCTGTCGATCCTAGTAGCAGAAGACTCCTTAGAAGCCATCCAACAAAACTGTAACGATTTAATGACAAGAATTGTACTTTGGTTCTCAACAAACAAATTATATGTAGATTCTGGTAAAACCAATTTTTCAATATTTCACTCTAGACAAAAGAGGATTGAAAACATAGAAATTAAAATGGGAGAACTAAAACAATGTGAAAACAAAAATTTTAGGTATAATTGTGAATGACATATTAGATTGGGAATTCCATATCAGAGAAATAATGTCCAAACTAAACAGCAAAATATTTCAACTAAAATGCCTACGAAGAGTTCTCAACTTGTCCGTACTTAAAAAATTTTATTATGCTGAAATTCATTCACAACTCACATATGGAATCTTATTATGGGGTTCATCATCAGGAGCTCAGAAATTATTTTGTACTGCCACCTTTAGATTAATCGATGAAGTAACAATTGTTCTTGAAAGTCAATTATGTCAGGAAATCCGGAAACTGGTGTTTTTGTTTCTTCTAAATTTTGTGCAGAACATGTTTTTCTTGTCATTAAATGCTTTCAGAATTCAAATTATTTCCAGTTCACAAATTGTTAGTGCTGCCATCTTTTTCTCAACGGACTAAATCGAAACTAAAACTTGCGTAACCTTTTTAGAATTCTATAATCTACAATAATGATGACATTCTACTATACTTGGCAGATGGCAATACTAGAAAAATTTGGTAACCCAAAAGTAAAGTTTCCTTCCAGATTTCAGTTGATTGAAAACCGTGTTCATGTAACGAAAATTCATTCATTTAATCACAAATTAACAAATACAAACTATAAACATCTCTCAAACAGCTGAGTGGCAACCTTTAGTAACTCTGGATCATGCCTCTTAGGAGCTTCCATATACAAATCTGTCATTGGCAAGTTACTCAAATGCCTTCTAATAGTGAGGTCCCTCCTTGCAGACAAAGCTCTTCTGTGCGGCCCCACGCCAGTGAAGAGTGCCTTTCTCATTGCCTGCTTTTCTCGGTCCGCGACTTGAATTATTGCGATGGGATGGGAGATGACTACTTCTTTCTCTTCGGTTTCGAGGTGGGGGTTCGACTCCTCTTCTTTCAACTCTTCATCTTTTGGTTCTTGCTTGATCCCGTTGAGCATTTCTTGAGGTTCCTCTTTGATTTTGATGCCAGCATCTTCTGTTTTAACGGATTCAGCTTGTTGTTGGAGTTGTTCGGCTTCAGCGTGCCTTTTGAGGATGTTTTTAACGATATCTTCACCTGCAAGTGCCACAGATATCCCCAAATGTACCAAAACATTGTGACTCTCCCATCTGAGCTTTGCAGAACTCACAGGATTCACCCGAGGCCTGGATTCGGCTACCAAACTGGCCCAATCAACACCTAAAGCATCTCCGAGCCCCTTTACTTTAGATTCTTCTTCTAACTCATCCTCAGAAATCTCCTCAAAATCGAGATCCATGTTCTCTTCGTCGATGGATTCCTCCTTTGGAACAATCTTCGAAGGAGATTTTGGAGGGGGGGACTGAGATCTCTGGGAGGTAGTCGAAGTGTTCTGGTCTTTCAGAGATGCAGTGTCAACGGTTGACGGTTCCAGTTGAGCAACAGAAGCTGAACCCTCCTCCATGAACTCTTGTATTTCCTGGAAATAACAAAAAACGTTATATTGATATAAAGAAATGTGAATATGACTTGCTAACCTCATCCCTATTCAGAATCTCATCTGCATCATCGCTAATCTCACTTAAGTCATCTTCTAGGACCGGTTGGGGTTCTGTCTTGCACATCTTCTTGGAGCTACTTTGACTGTCCAGGTTATCTTCGGCCGGACGTTTCTGAGACACCGATTCCTTGACGACAGCTGTTTCAACAGCATCCGAGACTGAGGGAATTGCTTTGGATTCCTGCTGATCCTGGCGCGGAACTGAAACGAGCGTTGGTTCTTTTCTTCTAGATTCGAGATTCGAGTCTTCCGATGGCGGAATAGACGCTAAAGTGATATTTCAATAACATCAATAATGGCAAAAGTCACACACTTGACACCATATTCAACCTCATGTTATAAAGTCGTTAAATGAGGTGGGTCAAGCAATCAGCAATATCTAACAATGAAGAAGAAAAATATCTAGTCTGTTAAATACATGCTTAAATTTATTCACACTGAAAAAAATACATAGATTACTCACTAGAAATGGTCTCGATATGATGGGATGCTGCACTTCTGGGTCTTGATCTCTCCCTTTCCCTTTCTCTCCAATCTGCCTGCCAACGTCTCCTGTCATCCGTTGACCAGCTATCCATTGAACGGTTGTAGTGCCTCCATTCTTCTTCCACCTGTTTTTACATAACATTCAGATAAAATGACAATATTTCAAAAGTTCATTCTGCAATTTGATTCTGAGGTTTTGAATATTTCAAAGTTTTGAGTTTTTGTTCATGTTAGTAAAAATTATAACCTGTTTATGATCAAGGCTATCCCAAGTATCCCTGTTGTCCCACTCGATTGGTCTCCTATTTCTGTCACTCCCCCAATCGTGTTCAGCCGCCTGATATTCCCGATCCCAATCCCCCTCTCGACCACCCTTTAAACTCTCTTCTCTGCCATACCTTTGACGATGGTCTAATTCTCTATCTCTGAAAAATTAAACCCACTGGAAATTACTAAATTCCAATTTTTGTCAGTACCTTTCAGGATCACCCCTGTCTTCTCTCATATCCCACAAATCTCTTCTTCCCCTTCTCTCATCCCCATATAATCTAGAATCATCTCTCACACCTTCTACGTAGTGATCGTCGATGTCCAGATACCTTCTATCTTCGTGGCGAGCATTTCTGTCATATGGACTGCCATAATCTTTGTCTCTATCTCCTCTATGTCCACTACCATAATCCCTATCAGCCCTAGAGAAAAATCATTATTATATATCCCGTACTGATATAACTTCAAAACAAACAAAATTACAAGTTTTCCAAAAAGGAGGTAACCAAATCACCAACTACTGCCTCATTGCATTACATAAATATTCCAACATATTTGCAGGACAAATAAACTTTTTTCAGCAATTTAGTTGTTAATGTTAGGCATAAATTATTACGAGTTCATTTGTTGGTTTTGTACCTACATTATACTTATTTTTTATTATTTAGTCAATCAATCATTTATTGATAGCAAGAAACAAATGTTTTAACAGGGACCTTAACTACGTTTATAAAACTAAATATTAACAGGAAATAAGATTATCAATTTGAAATGAGAAATTTCTTAATACAAAACATATAATACACCTTAAATTAAAGAAAGGGGTCGTTTTATCAGTTGGATTTTTAATCTTTTTTCAACTGGTTTACAGAAACACGTTTCAAAGTAATTGGTAGTTCATTATGAATAATAACCCCATTTTGTAAAATTACTTTTCATAATTTGTATTAATTTCATGTAATAATTGGTCTTCTAAGCTTAATTCGGAAATTGAGTTAGCAGTTTTATCCTTTTATGAAATTATATTTGAAGGTTTTACTCGATTTGTGCCACAGCGATATATAACTAGTTCAAAGTATCCTAAATGGTACAGTTCCTTTCTGATTCAACTTATCAAAAAAAAGAGAACTCCTCATTCAAGAAATTCAAAAAAACTAAATTGGATTGTGATTACAAAGAATATTCCAAGTTGCGCAAGGAAACCAAGTATCATATAGATAAATGTTACCTGCTATATCTTCTAATACAGAAAATATGATCCCTACTAACATCAAATATTTTTGGTCATTATTCAATTCATTGAGGAAAGATAAAGGGTTACCTACTATTATGACATATAATGGGTTGAACTTTGACACCCCTAAAACTATTACCGATGCTTTTGCGGTACATTTCAAATCTTGCTTTTCGATTCATTCACCTATTCAAAATTATGTACCAGACCATATTATTATCAATTATGATATTAACACGTTATCTTTCCACACCTTCGGTGAAGTGTTCATTGAAAATAAATTGAAAAACCTAGATGTCTCAAAGGGCGCGGGTCCTGACGGAATTCCGCCAGTATTGTTAAGGAATTGCTGTCACAGTTTATCACATCCCCTTAAAATACTTTTTCAAAAATCATTTGATACAGGGATTTTTCCAGGTGTTTGGAAAAAATCTTTCCTTTCTCCAGTATTCAAAAGTGGAAACAGAAATTATATTCAAAATTACAGGGGTATCTCGAAAATTTCTTGTATTCCCAAAGTATTTGAATCTTTAATTACGGACGAAATATTCAATAATTTCAAACACGTCATAATAGATGAACAACATGGATTCTACAAGGGAAGGTCTACTGCCACCAATTTGGCTGTCTACCAAAACTTCATCACAAATAAGCTTGAGCAAGGGTTCCAAGTTGATGTTATCTACATGGACCTTCCTAAAGCCTTTGCTTTAGTTTGTCATGAACTATTAATTTTAAAACTTAATAATCTTGGAATAACGGGCAGATACTTGAAATTTATTAAATCCTACCTTTCCGGTAGATCGCAGAATGTGAGGATAGCTGACAGTGTGTCAGAAACAATTCATGTGACTTCAGGAGTTCCGCAAGGTTCGCACATTGGGCCTATATTATTTCTACTCTTGATTAATGATGTTAAATCAGTATTTCAACACTGTAATATCTCTCTGTATGCAGACGTCCTTAAGTTTTTTAAAACAGTGCAATCTACCAATGATATTGAATGTATTCAGAATGACCTAGATAGCTTTTGTACCTACTGTGATACTAATTGTCTAAAAGTTGACATTAAGAAATGTAATGTGTTGAGATTTTATAGAATAAGACAGCCTGTCATTGTTGACATAGTTACGTTTTTGTTTTATAATTTAATTGATCATTAGTGTTGAATGTCTTTAAGATTATTCTTGTCTTTTTAATATTTTTTCTTTTTTATGTTCCATTTGGTATTTTATTAATAGTTTGTGGTGTACTGGACTAATAAATAAATAGGTTTATTTATTTTTAAGCAATTACAGTAGTTTATATTAAGAATTTTACTTGTTTGGTTCATAACTGAACTCTAATGCTTGACTGGTTTCAACAATTGAAACTTTCTTGATTTGGGATTTTATAATAATTCATTTTATACAAAGAGAAGATATTGAGAAGTTAATTTTTATTATTGTTCAAAAGTATTCATACTTTTGAGAAAGGGAATCTTCCATCCGCTCCTGGAAGATTCTCACATTTTTTTGTATAAGAATGAAGAAGTAGAAAAAAACCTTTCCTTTTCAAAAATTAATCTCTCCTAAAAATATACTTCTATCAATTTATTTATACTCATCATTATTACTATTTGTTTGCTTTACCAATGCTTCAATTGTAAAATTATATGCAAAAAAATACCTTTACTTTTGAGGTCATTAATGTGGAAATAGTGTATCTGTTGAAAATTGATGAATAAATTAATTTTGATATTTTCAAAAATTTCACGGTGTCCGATTATTATTTTTTTAAATTCTGACTTTTATACTACTGCCATATTTTTTCTTTGACTTTCCATACTATTGCAAGTTAACAACAACTGAATTTTTTTCAATCTCAGAATTTTATTTACAATAAACTTTTTTTGAACCAGGTTACTCACCTTTCGTGTTCTCTTTCACGATTTCTATCGTAACCTCTGTCATACGATCTATCTTTGTCCAAATCTGACCTCCGATCAGATGACTTGCGGCTAGAATGCTCCGGGGAGCGCCGGTCATGCCTGTCACTCCCTCGGTTACGGTCGGATCTGTCTCGCTCTGAAGAGTGCGCTCTTCGGGAAGGAGGCACCCGCTCCTCCGGCGGCGGCAAAAGACGCTCGACTCGATCTCCTGAAGGCTTATCGAGCCCCCTGTCCTCCCTCCTTGACCTCTCCCTTCTTCGTTGCTCCTCCTCCTTCTTCTGCAGCTCTTTCAACCTCTCACGCTCTCTCTGTCTCTCCTGGCACCTGGCCAGTGCTTCCTCTCGCTCTTTTTCGCGAGCCGCCTCTCTCTCCTCTCTGGCTAACCGTCTTTCTCGCTCGCGTTCGCGTTCCCTATCTCTATCACGTGAGTCTCTTTTACTCGAACTGGAGTCTTTGGGGCGGCTCTTGTCACAACCGGAAGATCTACTGTCTTTGCCACGAGATCTGATAAAAAAATTATTCATTTAGAATGGGCTTGTTTCATGATTTTTGGTTTAGAGTTCACTTGATAGAAATTTTGAATTGAAAAACAGTGTACTTTGTTTCATCTCTCTAAATACCGTAGTTTTCCCGTAATTATCTCTATCACGTGAGTCTCTTTTACTCGAACTGGAGTCTTTGGGGCGGCTCTTGTCACAACCGGAAGATCTACTGTCTTTGCCACGAGATCTGATCAAAAAAAAATTATTCATTTAGAATGGACTTGTTTCATGATTTTTGGTTTAGAGTTCACTTGATAGAAATTTTGAATTGAAAAACAGTGTACTTTGTTTCATCTCTCTAAATACCGTAGTTTTCCCGTAATTATCTCTATCACGTGAGTCTCTTTTACTCGAACTGGAGTCTTTGGGGCGGCTCTTGTCACAACCGGAAGATCTACTGTCTTTGCCACGAGATCTGATCAAAAAAAATTATTCATTTAGAATGGACTTGTTTCATGATTTTTGGTTTAGAGTTCACTTGATAGAAATTTTGAATTGAAAAACAGTGTACTTTGTTTCATCTCTCTAAATACCGTAGTTTTCCCGTAATTAATTATTAAAAATCGAATGGGGTAGGGTGGTGACGTCACGACCCTATTCCCGCTTCTTGTTCGATTGACCAATAGAAACAATAGAAATAATCAACATTACCAAATCGTAAAATTTACCTAAACTATGATTTTATGCATTATTTAATGATATACAGTTATGAAAATAAAAAAATAGAGCAAACTGGATTAAAGAATCATTTCAAATATTCAATTTATTCTACAATCCTCAATCTGTACAACTGCAATTTATTACAAAAAAGAAATCCTACATACATAACTCTTTCTAATATAGCTACTAACTTCAAATGTTATAGGCTCGCTTGGGTAATCTTTTGAATCTTCCAAAACTTGAGAGGAAGGTTGAATGAGGTCAAGTATAGACAGAATTGATTGTACTCGAACTCATCCAACAAAAACTTCTGAGGTAATACCATTAATCATATGATAAAATTTAATGAAGTAAAGTGTATCATACTTTCAGCGACAGTAAACTTCAGATAATACTTTCTGTGTAGAATACTTGAAAATTGAAATAAAAAACTGTGTCATCAAATTCAATATTTTCGTCTCCCTTTCATACTCTATAAAGTCTTGGAAGAGTAGAAGGATTATAGTTCGTTCTTTTCAATACTTTCACCCATTTTTCCTCATCATTTTATCCTTTGGGAACCTAAACTCATTGTATGAAATAACTCTATAAACCAATGCGCTTTCTGTTTTCTTGTGCCTTTCCGCACAATTAAAATCAGCACAAGAATGCACCATATTAATATTCAAATATATCTCTAAAACACAAACTAAACTCGATAAAAAAACGAATTGTTCCTACGCGAGCTGTCAGGTAAGATAAAGTTGAAAGACAATGTTGCAAAAATAAGCAGGATCCAATATGACATACATTTTCAATGCCGAATAAACCAAAAAATTGTGATATGGATACTCCATTTTCCTGAGAAAATGAACGATCAATTAAAATTTTCTGTAATTATTCTTTAATTTTTTCAAAGATTGAAGCCAGCAAACAAATAAATATACAATAATAAGATTGCTCGAATCCACGAATTAAGCATAAAAATGGACAATAATATTTGCCTTGATACAAGTTATATTTAAGTATGATTCTGAATAGAATTAAATGAGCTGTATTTTCAAATGGTTTTCGAATGCTCATGAACCCTAATAAAATAAATCAATTATGCATTCATGCTACCCACCAAAAATAAGAAATTCAACATTACTGGTATAATAGCCATATTGTCATCCAGTCAGCCAGCGCCTTCTATAGTAATTCTAGACATAATCAATTTTATTGGTCAACAGACACGTGGCCAATTTAAATTCTTGCTTTTCAAATTATTCTTTTTTCTGCAAATATAAAATGATTTTGGGACCGATTAGACTTGATAAGTATAATATACCCCTAACAAGCCCATTGCCCCGTCTAAGAATAAACAAAAAGATTCATGAAATATTATCAATGACTTGAGAGGAAAGCATAAAGCTGAACTCCGAAGATTTCAACTTATTTTATTTTTCTGTGGCATCTAAATCAGCTGAAAAAATTAATGTAAAAAATGATCCGATGTCATATTCATAAAATTGCACTGTACATACTACTTTCTTCTTCACACCTACAAATATATATGAAATTAAAGAAATTTTTGGTGGAATTAAAAACAAAAAATCGGTAGGGTACGATGATTTACTTTCTTGAAAATTCGGGTTAAACTACCCCGACAGTACACTTATTCATTTGCATGAAAGAAGCGATCTGGTGAACCCAGCAAATTTTAGTCTCATTGCTTTGTTACCTGCTTTGTCCAAAGAAATAGAAAAAAGAAGTGAATAAGTATAATCAAAATCATAAAAGAACTCACCTTCCTCTGTCATCCCTTTTATCACTTCTCCTGTCATCTTTGGCAGGACTTTTATGATCCCTTCTGCTAGTGCTGCTCGTTTTTCCTCTACCTGGTGACATCTTCCTATCTCTAGAATGTGAAGAGTCAGGAGTATCCATCTTTCTGGTATCCTTTGCAGTCCTACTATCTCTCTTAGGTGACCTAAAATGGTGACAGTTAAAGTTATCTAAATGACTATTGACTTGTACTTTAACATACCTAGTTGCTTCCTTCTTTTTGTATTCTTTTTCTTTCTCTCGCTCCCTTTCTTTCGCACGTTCCTTGGCCCTCTCACGTTCTCGTTCTTTTTCCCTTTCCCTTTCTCGTTCCTTCTCTCTTTCACGCTCCCTTTCTCGTTCCCGTTCCCTTTCCTTTTCACGCTCCCTTTCGCGTTCTCTTTCTTTTTCACGCTCTTTTTCCTTGGAAGGCTTAGGTGAAGGGGTTCGATGTTTTTCCTTCGTAGATGACTTAATTGAAAAAATAAAATTTTATCAAAATATACTAGCTTTGCTGAGGCTTTCGATAAAGGCTTATACCCGATTCTTGTCAAAACTGTTGAAAATTATTTTGTTTTCATACCAATCTAATAGCTTTTCACCTACAGCCACGTCTGGATTTCTGCACCATTTATTCTATTCATCATCTCATTAGGAATATTAGATATAGAAATAAAATACTTTGTCTAATTTCCACTTAATGTATTATTATTAATACGACCAAGGTTTCGGTTTTTACACCATTCTCAAGTGTTCTAGCACTGAAGGTGTAAAAACTGAAACCTTGGTCGTATTAATATCAATACATTAAGTAAGTGGAAATTAGATAAAGTATTTTATTCCTATATCTAATTGAAGATGAATTTCCACAAAATAAATAAGTCATCAATATCACAAATCTCATTAGGACTTGAAAATTTATAGGTACATTACAACTATCAAAGACTGTATGCTGCTACCAAAAGACTTGATCCTGATTATGAAATGATAAGAAAAACAAATTTCTTTCAACATTCAAAAGTCTAATATTATGACTTTCTCCTGAAACTATTATACAGATGGTGTAGTACTTCATGGAACTCAAAGGATGAAACTTTGTTTATAATTTATCATTCATACTAAATGAAATGAATACGCATCAAAGAACTTCACGAACCCCGTGTAATTCAAGAATAATATCTACATCAAACATTTGTATTTTGAATTAAATGTATTCACATCAAATGCTGCAATTTCATATGGATGATCCCTGTCTTCTGTCTCAAACTAATTCAAGTGTACCTGAATATTGAATAAGATTGTTTCTTATTTTATATTGAATCTACAAGGCTTCTTTAAATTCAATGTGTAAACCCTAAAATAATACACAAAATGACTGTAACACTTACAGTAGCATCTTCAGGCAGCTTCAATACTACTTATGTTTGTTAATAAATAAATTAATTTGCACTTATAAATTACACTTACCTTCACGCTTGTGCGACTGTGGGGTCTTGGAGACTTCTCCGTACTCAGTTTCTTACTGGCGGAGCTTGTTTTTCCCTTCAGTGGGGGGGTTTCGGACTTCTTCCTCTGCCTCGTGGGAGAAGGAGACTTGGCCTTGACAACTGGCTTGACACACTTCTTTGGCTGCTTCTCTCTAGTAGCAGATTTACTCGAATTACGTTTAGTCTTGAGTTTGTGCTTATTATGGGCTCTATCATCTGAAGATGAGGAGGTATTCCTTTTCATCTTTGGCTTCTTAATCTTCTTGTGCCTGGCCTCGGCAGAGCTAGAACTAGATGAGCTTGACTCTTCGCTACTAGAACTTGATTCTGAACTTGAACTAGAACTATCACTACTAGGGCTGCTATCTTTTTTCACTTTCTTCTCCTTTTTTTTTGCCTTACTTTCCATTTTCATCTGAAGCTCGAGCTCCCTCTGCAACTCCTGGCGACGCTTCTCTAGGTCATCAGGATCTGCGTCTTCTAATTCATCAGGGTCCCACTGCTCCCACTCTTCAAATCAAAATCATGTATTTTTTCAAGACAATCATAATAATTGTATAAAAATCGTCAATATAACAATGCAATATACAATAATGTATATAGAATACAACATGAAAATGTAGAGAACCCTCAAAACAGTAATCAAACCAAAAAATTGTATTTTTCCTGAAGTAGTTGTATTTGAAATGCAGAGTTCAGACAAATCGAAAGCAAAATTATTCAACAATTTTTTCATAGAAAGTATATTACGTTTCGAAGCAACCATCCCTTGTTCATCACCCTGGTTAAGCAAAAACTTCATAAGTGATTCAATGCAGGTTTTCCGAATTCAGAGGAGTTATCTTGACAGAATTAAAATCAATTGTACAAAATATAGATAATAAGTGCAAAGCTGATATAATCAACATTAAGGTCCTTAAGAGAATTTTCACAGAATTTAGTCATATTATATTAGATTTTGTAAATACTTCCAAATACGTAGGCTATTTCCCAAACAGCTCAAACTTAGTTCAGTTGTCCGCGTGCCTGAAAGGTGCAATTCAAATGATGTCATTAATTTTCATCCTATAAACAATTTATTCCCTTTGGAAATAAGTATTAGAAATAGCTGTGTACAATCAGATTTGCACAAACACTGATGATAATGATCTGCTTATGGATTACAATAATACTATTTTACAATATTTAGTCGCACAAGAAAAATAATTATAGAGTATAATTCAACAAATGCAGCATTATTGTGAATAAACAAGAATATATATACCACAAGCAGTAGGTACTGCTTGTGTGTGGGCTGTCGCATTGCAAATTGGTTTATATCAGAGTATAACAAATATGAAACAGTATTGAAAGTTGCTTTGCTTTTTTTTATATCATTCAAAATGAAGTTGGTTGAGCCAAAAAAACGAAATTAGACAATTCTAGTTTTTGGCAAATATTTCAAAAACAAACACTGACATTCTCAATCAATTTGTTAGTCCATGTTTAGCTAACACAAACTAACTGGATGGTTTGCCCACTCGAGAGCATGCTGCGTGTAATTGTTTGTGTGAAAAACATGGTGTGCTGAAAGTTCAAGCCACAAATGGACATTGTTTGACCTTGGGACTCATCAATAGTTATTGCAAATGCCAATCTAATTAGAAATTGCACACGTTTGAAATGAATTGGCACATCTGTAGGTATAATAGGAATTCGTGGTATTAATATATTTTCACCTCGGAACTTGCCATTTAAAATGCTGGCTTCAACAAAGTTTTTCATTGATTTTTTAATAACTAATCGCATGCCGTTTCACAGTCGCGGTGGATTCAAATTACGGAGCGATCCAACCAGGCACGCGGAAGAGTGCCTGGGAAATCCAATGAGCTCTAAAACTGTGTAGGATATATCACAGCTTCGGTGGCATCGCTCGATTGATAAACAATAATAGTGGCCGAAAACTGTGTCGGGAGTTGAGAGAAGGCTTGTGTGAGCGAGAGACCGGCTTTGTTCTCATCCCTACTCCGTGCTGTTTACTGAGTGAAAAGTGACATTGGTAGAAGCTTGGCGGGAATAACTGATAAATTAATAAATTACTAAAATGGCTATTAAAAAATTGGATTTGTTAAAGGGTAAAAATTGAGTGCTATATGTATTTCTCAATGCCACATCATAAAAAAAAAAACAAGAAAATAGAAATATATTTGGGGTTAAAAAAATATAGATATTACAACCTATTCTTAGACCTACCAAATATACATATGAAATTTCATAAAAATCAGTTAATATAGAACCTTGAGTCAACCTCATTTTGATTACTATGCTAGTATGCTGTCTTTGCTCGATGGTAACTCCTTTAAAAAATGACTGAAATTACAGAGTAGAGGCAGGCAAATACTACTGGAATGAAACAAATATACCCCAATAACATAGCTGATTCAAGTCCTAAATTGGTTGACAGTGAAAGACAGATTATTCTATTTCTCATTAATCTTCATTTATGAAACACCTAATGGGAAAATACCATCCCAGATTAATGAATTCATTACTTTTCACCATCCAATTCATTACCATCAATCAAGAGGTAGTAATGATTTGTATGTTACCTCAACCAATCTTTCAAGGACCATGAACTCCTTATTTCATAAAGAGTTGTTCAATTTCAACAAACTACCAAACAATATAAAAAGAAGTGATGCTTTGCAGCAGTTCAAATGTTGGAGAAAAAAATATTCAGATTTTTAATTACCCATTATTGAATAAGAAATTTGGGAGACTTCCAAAGAAAGGAAGAAAAACAATAACTACAATAAAAACGTTTTGAAAAAATATGTAGTGCATATTTTATATCAGATAAAAACTGAAAGAAAAAACTCTGTGCTAGTGCATATAGTAAACTATATTTGGAAGTCTATTTTCAATAAATTATTATTAATATAACTTCAAGGTACCTTCATGCGTCTGCGGCGGCTTCTGTTGAGGCGGTCTCTTGTGTCCATCCTTAGCATGCCTGCGTTTGGGGGCGATGCTCTGCGTTTTTGCTGCTCGCTGCTTTGATGGGCTGATCAGGGTATGAGTAGCCGAATACTTGCATCCCTTCCCGTAAGGACAGGAACCGCTCTGAGCCCAATGATGGCAGTACTCCTTGGCAGTGGCGGTCGCCTTGGTGCCGAGACGTTCGAAAACGCTGGGACGAGTCTTTGTGAGTGTTTTACTCTTTGTCGTGAGGTTCACGGTGATTTTTCGTTTTATTTTAGACATTTTCAGAGATAAGTTTTAAGGTCGAAGCGAAAGAACTCATTATAAGACTTTTGGTTAACATATTCACCAAACTAAGTTTGACAACTTAATTAAATTCAAAGTTAATCCACAGTAAAAAACTTCAAGTGAACGATTGACATTTAAGCCACTTATTGACAACTGACATTTACTCTCGATATTCTTCTTCTTAATTATTGAGTATTACTGGAGTTTTTTCCCAACACCAAATCGTTATTTTTAACACCTCGATACGTGTTTCAATCACCAAGTGATCATCTTCAAAGGGAAAAAACTCCAGTAATATTTCTTACTACACCAAAGGTTCCAAACTGTGCATTATAAGTTAAACATTGAGGACAAAGAAGTGTTTAATAGTATTTTAGTAAATAAAAATATAAAATTCCATTTATAATATACAATAGGTAAAATGATCTGATATGTGCTGTAATGAATCTTTCTACATATATAGAGTTTTGGAAATCTCAACAAAAAAATCTATAGAGGTATTGAAGTTTATATTTTATTAAATGTGGAAGGTAGTATCAAAATAAGAAATGGTACGATCATCTCTCTCCTCACTATATCCTTAGTTACTATAGGAAAGAGACAAGTCCTCTACATCCCTTTGATATTGTACAAAAATAATGTTGCTTGAACAGTTTGGGGAAATTCTTGCCGCGAGAGGGCGCTGAGGGACGAGATGTCGGTTCTCGTGGTTCATTTCTTATTTACATATGGATAGAATGATTTTATTTCAATTATGTGACGAAGAGTTAGAAAATAAAAAACCTCTAAAAAAGGGAGGTACAACTAGTAATACTAGGGCGGAAAGTATTAAGCAGTAATGTGACAAGTACTGCAGCCTTAGGTGTTTTCTGGCGTTTAATAGTATTCGAGCATGTTCATAGTTACGTCATTAGTAATAAAATTCGCCAGAATAGAATGATTCAATTTGTGTCAGATGTCAAATTCGAAAATAAAAATAAAATTTTCGATTTTCTCTAACTCAATTTAATCTTTTGTACATCTTTACAACGTATTTGATGAAAAGGTTTCAGCACTTCATAAACTATGACGATAAAAATAAAGCAGAAACTGACGTAACGTAACGTCAAATTCCTTTTTAAAACTAACCTCACGCTTAGTTTTGAATCATGATGAATACGTTTCAAATCATATTTGATGTGACGTCATCGTTTCAACGCCAGAATGAATGTATTTGAATCACAGACGAATACGTTTTGAATACATGAGCGTCAGAAAATGTCTATGAGCAGAGACAACTATGAGCAACAGAAAACGCCTCTAATGATCTTATGTCCTACAGAAATAGTTGTGTGTGTAGCCATTTTTGAAATCTATGGAAACTAAAAATAAAAATTCGTGAATGGAAGGTTGCAAATATTAAAAATACCAGGACCAAAATATTCCATAAAATAATCAAAATAAATGATGGAAAGAGATGCAGAAAAATATGAATAGATATTTTATCTAACTACTTCACAACGTTTCGATTGTTGGTGTTGCAGAAACTGACGTAACAATCTATTGTTAATAATGTTTGACATAGAAAAAGTCGAAAATTTGAGATAATGCTAATTTATTGCTCAGAATAAAAATTAAACAAAATATCTGATACGTTCAATGATGGTGGGATGAAATTTCATGAACATGTTTTGTGTGAATTATTTCAAATGAATTTTGGAGCAATTATTTTAGATGATAAAATGTATTCAATAAATTGATGGATGTAGCCGACTATGTGGTAGAAGATCATAATGAAAAGAGAAATTAAAATTTCTATGTTTTTTACCACTTATATTTGTAACTAATGTTACTGCAGTTTCATCCTATAATGGACATTCTCAAACTTATACAATAAACTTTATTTTTATTTTTTAAGTGTATTGTATAAGTTTGAGAATGTCCATATAGTAACGCAGTAACGTTAATTACAAATAAAAGTAGTGAAAAACATAGAAATTTTCATTTAACATGTATTCAATCATTTCAGTATTTGATTTTCGAGCATTGCTTACTCAATGTTTTGAATCGCCTCCTATGAAAGACATGTCTGCATAACGTCGCTGAAATAAAGTGGAGACTAAAAATAAACTAAAATTTATTTATCAATCAATATTTCCTTTTCACTTTACATGTTCTTGAACATTTCAATTTTAAAATACTAAATAACTCAATTTTTTTCAACCATAAATCACATTTCAACAGTCTATCTTTGAATACAACAACTCATGAAACCTAAAAATACTTGAGGGTAATAAATAAAAGATATCTAAAGGACAATTCAAAAGTATACAACCCAATATCCAGTATAATATATCCATATTGATCAGTAATCTACCTCATAATTGCTACTTTGAATCCAGGAAAGAGCCGCTTTTATATTGGATATCTTGGCTCTCACCAGAAAACTAGAAATCAGCAGATACTCGGGATAAGTCCTACGACCGCTTCTTGTATTTTCCTCTGATCTAGCTTTGTCTTGATCTGACCTCGCAGACCGAGAAAAAGCTTCGTTGTTAATTCTGACTTCGCACAGAACCTTTGTTGTTAGGCTTAGCAACCATTGGAGGATCTATGAAATCATTAATTAGTTATTAATTACAAATTATATAACATTTGAGTTTTTACCTCGGCGCTTGATGGCAACTTTGTGTCATATTTGAGCCATGAACTTGGAGCCCACAAAAACAGCTGACATACATTTGCAGCTACTTCCGGATCGAGACGCTGAAAAAATACTTTTCCGTTAGTTAATTCATTTAGTTCAATCGAAGGGATCTCCCGATTACATTAAAAAAGAACCAAATTGAAAGGATATGTTTTTAGAAGAAATTAATTTTTGGGAATGAAAGTTTATGGCCATCTACTTCTCCATTTTGATACAAAAAATGTGGTAATCTTTCCAAAGAAAGGAAGGATACAATAAAACCAATTATGATACATTTACATGAATTTAAAACTTGATAGATCTTGAATTACGAATAACATGAATACATTTTATTCGTGTCTATACAAATGAGACTTTTCCTTACAAATGTAACTGGTGAACCTGGTTTATCCTGTATTGGTTGCAGTTGATTGAACCCAGAAGCGATCTTACCATAGAGCAAACCAGTGAGTCTCTATTTGGAAAGCATATCAAATAAATTTGTGACAATATGCTCAATATCTGAATGGAAATCAGTTCGTTGTGAAATATCGTTAATTGAAAGTTTTTTTAACAAAAATTAAAATAGGTCTGTAGACTGTATTGAGAAGACATACATAGAAATGAGAAAATGAATATTTCAAAATAATATCTTGAAATATTCATCTCTCCTAACATACCTACACGGTAGGTTCTGGTCAATGACTGCCAGAAGACAACTACTTCCCCGGCTAATACCACGCTAGACATTGGATTATATCCAACAGACTGGGTTCGAAGTATTACCTTTCACGAGTGCAGGAAAGATCCGACCCAAACTGCTGTTTGGGTAGGATCATCCCTGCACTGATAAGAGGTAATACTTCGAAATCAGTCCATTGATTTCAGTGTGGTCCTGCTACTGGATGAATGAGAAGCATCTAATTCACTCATCATTTATTTATTTATTCAAGACTATCCGTTATGTCTTTGGGATATAATTCAATGTCCATCTTGGTATTAGCAGGAACTTATCAGAACCTACTGTAAAGGTACATTGGGAGAGATGGATGTTTCGATATTTCAATTTGAAATATCGAAACAATCTAGACTATGAATATTATTAGTACACAATTTTACATTATAGGTAAATAAAGATTATCATTACTATCTAAAGTACCAGATCAATTAAACCCTTCTTGTACTTCTTACCTTATTAGGTTTGCGCTGCAAAATATTCCCGATCAATGCCTTAATAATAAAAGGCACTCCTTCCGACAAAGGGGGCAATTTTTTCTCCTCATAATCAATGCTTCTCAACTTTTGTTGATCCTGATTCTCGTAAAAGGGATTGACGTGGCCAAATATCTCGTACCCCAAGGCACCTGCAGCCCACAAGTCTGATTTCCTATAGTCCAGGACACTGAAAGTGCCTGGCTGTTGACCAATGATTTCTGGAGCCATAAGAGCTGTATTTCCACCTAAAAATAATAAACAGTTAACATTAAAAAAGTTATTTTTGTCCCAGAAATCACTTACCTTTATCGACATCATAACTAGTATAAGGCAAAGTCAACCCATGAGATTTATCCGCGAGGCAGCAGCCAAAGTCGCTGATAACCAGGATTGGGGTTTCCGGTTCTGAGGTGTCCAACAAAATGTTGTCTGATTTGAGGTCACGGTGGGCAATGCTATGTCTAGATAAGTGTGTGATGCCCTCCAACAGCTGAGTGAAGAGTAAAATAGAAGTTCTATTGGACGGTGAGGAAGAGGTTATGAAATCTTGCAGATTGGTATTATACCTGTAATTGAGAAATGCAAGTGAGATATACTCGGAGCAACTAAAACATGCATCATCAAAACCTGACACAATAGAACACATATTTTTATATAACATCCTTTTCTTCCACTAGTGAAAAATGAAGACAAAAAAATGTTTGCATTTATTCAGAGAGAGCTCTTGTTTGGATGTTCCACTGACCACCCTTTTTTTTCATATGAACAACAACCTTCAAAAGTTAAAACTAATCTTATCAAGTCATCATGGTTTATTTCATAATACCCGCAAAAACCCCTAAAATAAAATGGGTCACTCAAATATATGGTTTACCTTTTCATGAGTAAAAATAAAGACATGTTCCTTCCCTCTCCTTCTGGATGGATTCTTTTAGGAAGAGCAGCTGGATACAAGCCCTTGCAGTCTTCCAGCTCAGGAACATAATCGGTAAAGACTGAAAAGATTGCTACAACATTTGGATGAGGTGGCAATTGTCTATTTCTCATGGACATTCTGAAATTATTATAACAAATTAATAACAATATTTATGTTTACATTTTCTATGTCATACTAGTCTTGTCTGTAAACATTTTTGTGAAATATTTTTCAATAGTTTAGTGTGGAACTTACTCATTTTCCCAATCAGAAATTTCAACATTGCTGTAATACAACCTAGCAGGCACAGTCTCTCTATGCATAGCCTTCAGAATAGCCATAGAGTTGGACTGAATATCATAGTTGAACATCATCTTCAATGCCAAAGGAAATTTTGTTATATCACTGCTATCCTCAGTTTTAACCTTGATAGGTCCTGTTACAGGTTCAGATGATGTACTGCTTTGTTCGCTAGATATTTTAGCAGCATAAACAACTGCATTTGAGCCTTTTGCTATCGGTTTACCGAAGCAAAAGTCGTTGAGAGTGAGAGGAGTATTTCCAAATTTTGATTCATCCAAATTGACGTCATGGTAATGCCATTTAATTTTAGACACTGCTTCCTGAAAGTATTTTATATTAAACTCAATATTAAGTAAATTTAATAAAACTCACCCTTATTTCCCAACAAACACCTTCAAGTTCTTCTTCCCTAGTTAGTATTCCAGTACCGGAGGCCAAACTAACTCCAACTAATGCAAAAAACGGTCGAGAATCTCCATAAAAAATCCTACAAAATGCAACATTACACAACTATCTTTTTCAATCTGAAGCAACAAATTCAAAAGAGATTTTCAAAAATTGATAGAAGAGTACTGAACAAGGAAATGAATTCTTGCACCAGTCTAAACAAAAAAAAAATTGAAAAATAAATACCAGAGGCTAAACTAACTCCAACCGACCATACAGATCCCACGAAAATTACACAATTTTGGACAAAATGATAAAATGTGAAAAATTCAACATTTATGTTTTTGGTACCACTTTTATTTGTAACTAACGTTTCAATAAACTCCTACAATTGTATAAGTTTGAAAATGTCCGTATAGGACGAAACTGCAGTAACGTTAGTTATAAATAAAAGTGGTAAAAAACAGAAAGTTTCATTTCTCTTTTCTTCATTACGATTTTATTTTAGTTAGTAGTTCTTAAGCTTATTTTGTTATTGTAGTTTTATCTCTCTTACTTTTGATTACAATTCAATATTGTGTTTGTAGGAGTAAAAAAGTAAATAAATAAATGGACTTAGTAAATAAATTAATAATACACACAATATGAATACATCTGAATTAAAGTTATGTGCATAAAAACAAAACTGAAAATATGAAAAGTATAATCTGTCCAAGTGAATAAACTCATATAAAAAGTTTGATTAAAAAAAGGTTACTATTTGTTTGTATGAATAATTTTTTGTTTAATTCATAAGTCTAAAATGCATGATGTATTTCCTTAATTTGAGAGCTTGGTCAAACTGTTCATTTTTTATGGGCACTCAGTTTCTTAAAAAGTATTAAGTTGAGTTTATTAAAACTATTATCTCAATTGGTCTATGGTTGGTCGAAGTATTTACAGGTCAAAAATCACCTATTTCGGGACCTCCAGGTTCTTCGACTTCTATGTTGTGCTTATTATAGTAAAAGTAACCAAGTAAACAATATCAAAATGATTCATTAAATAAGCAACATATACCAAATACTGGCTATGTCAATCACCTTCTAGCCGCTCGCTTCCTCAAATCCGATGCAAGGCTATTGGTGACTCTGTTCAGAACGTTATCTATGAGGATTCGTCTTGCTTGCAACCCTATTTGCACACCAACATTTCTCAAGCCGAATCCTCTCTGGATCACTTGATTGCCGACATACTCTCTGGGTTTGGGAGCAACTTGTTGAGCTGCATTAATTTTGTCGGTAATAGTGTTGATGTTTCGTTTGTTGCAAATGTGACGAATGAGCGATGTACCATGTTTTAGTATACGCGTGCCTACAGCTCTCACCGACATTTTGCACTGTCTACACGATATTTCGAACCCCCTAGGGGCCTATCGAATCTTTGAAAAACAATTCCACAAAAAAAATCTTATTAGGACAAAAATTCGATATGACAATGACATTTCGTATTTCCTCTATTTTTAGAGGGATGACGAATCAACGTCATCTGTCTTCTAAAGAATTTCAATCTGTGTGTGTACACAATTAAAATGTATCCAGATATTAGAAGTTTTTTTGCTATCTTCTGGTAGACACATCCATTTCTTCTTTTTTTACAAATCTTCCAAAGAACCATTGTCGCATGATGGCAGTGCGAATCCATCAAATTGGTAAAGTTGTGGTAGGAACTAGTGGATACGTCAAAAATCATGTTCTACATAGTTCAAAAAATTTGGTATAATTCCACAATGAAAATATAACATAACCTCATTTTTTATTTACCAGTATATATATTATAAAACGATTAATGAATCCGTGCTATTTCCCTATTAACATCGAATTATACCTCCAATAACTTATGAATGGACCAACCCGTTACTTGATGAAAATCAAATATCCATTATGATAATTACACAATTTTCACTAACATTTTTTAAATTCTGGACGCTTTTCGCCAACACCGTAGCTCAGTAGTATTAACTGGTTACAGTCAACTCTGGTCATTCACAAATTATTGGCAGAACTACACAAATTTGAATTATGTATTATAACGAATCAACAAAAATATAGTCATGAACCTGACATAATTGAAATTAATTCCATCATTCTTACGAACCTCTGTAACAGAGAGGAGAATGAAAAATACTAATATAAAGTGATTAGTGGTCAAACCAATGTTCCATTACATCAAACTAGTGGACATGAAATGTACCTGAAATATTGGTTCGCAAAATATCATATTTGTTATTTTATNCTATACTTTTTTCTGCTTTGAAATACGTAGTTTTACAAGTAAATCTTCCACTTCAACGATTCTTTTTGGTAGACACACCCATTTCTTCTTCTTTTTTCGGTGATGCAGAATGCTCAAAATTTTGACATTTACTGTCAATTTCTTGGGGGAGGCTCGAATGTGTTGCCGAGGTTCTGCAAATTCAAATAGTGATAAATATGGATAAAAAAAAGTGAAACAAACATAATTGTTGGCGATGGAATTCGCTGAACTGATAATTACACCAAAACTAGATGGAGTCATTCTTCACAGCCCTTTTCATGATCCTGTAGACGGCACTCTTTGCATAACTGGGCATCATTTGATTCTATCTTCGAGAAAAGAAGACGTTCAAGAACTATGGGTAAGAATATTCGAAATTATTTTATGTATTCCATCAGATAAGAAGCGAGACAATTTTTTCAACAGATTTTACACCAATGCATAGATTTAGTAGAAAAAAAATCATCTGGCAACAACACAACTCAGAACGGAGGTTCAATTATTCTCAAATGTAAAGACTTCAGAGTTCTTCAATTAGATATCACACAATCGGAAGACTTTCATAACGTCTACCTGTCTATCCAACGACTGTCCAACTTAGAAAAACCAGAATTGCTTTATCCGTTTTTCTATAGGCCCATGTACAGTATGTTGGAAGACGGATATACTCTGTTTGGACCTGAAATGGAATTCCCAAAGCTTATAGCTAGTGATGAGTGGAGAGTATCGCAAGTTAATAAAAATTACACAGTTTGCAGTACTTACAGCAATACTTTAGTAGTCCCTAAAGGAATAGATGATGAAAGTATTGTTTCCGCAGCAAATTTTCGAGAAGGTGGTCGCTTTCCTATCCTCAGCTACAGGTAAAACACAAAAGTTCTATATTTCCAGAATATCGATATTTCAAATAAACTTTGAAATACATTTTCTGATTGACCCAAAATAGTTGGTTGAGTAACAGGATCAAATATTTTCAGAAAAACAATTGTTTTCTTGTCAACTTTTCAAATTCAATAAATTTCTTTAGGGCTAAAGAAGACAACAGAATGCTCGAAACCAAGACTACACAAATGATGAACCAAACTAATAAATTCTTTTTTTACTACAGTGTTTTTATTTTTCATTATGTATTTATGAAATATCTGATGGTTTTCAAAATACATTTTTTCTCCTTTTAATGTGCATTGTATGTATTTTCAAGTGTTTCACTTATTTAATTTATGAAAATTATATTTTTATTGTTAATAATTTATATTTTGAATTGTATATTGATCATTTTTTTCTGGTGAGGGAAAATCACTTTTAATACATTCATTTCACGATGCAGGTTCCAAATTCTACTTGTCAACTTTAATTTACTCACACAATTGTATAACTTAAACAATTCTCAACTTATACATTCTCAAACTTATACAATTCTCAACTTATACAATTGTATAAGTTTGAGAATGTCCATATAGGACGAAACTGCAGTAATGTTAGTTACAAATAAAAGTGGTAAAAAACATAGAAATTTTCATTTCTCTTTTCAATTATAATAATTATTTCAAAGTCAAGAGAGTAAAAACATACGTTTTTACTCTGATTCTTGATTTTCGTCAACTATATCATATATAATAGACTAAAAAATTTGTATCAAAACTGAAAATGATTTGATTATGAAAATTTCAATGAAGTAATTGAAATTACAGACACGAAAATGGAACCGTTCTTCTGCGCAGTGGACAACCAATGCTTAATAATTCCAGTAGAAGATGTAGGGCAGACGAGAAAATTTTAAACTCTGTTTTGGGGCCTTATAAGAAGGGCTACATAATCGACACTAGGAGTCCCACTTACATCAGCAACTGTAAAAGTAAAGGAGGCGGTACGGAGCCTGAGGGATATTACAATCAGTGGAAAAAAGTCTTCAAGCCATTGGATAAGATTTCCAAGTGTGAAGGCTCCATCATGGAGCACCTATCTAAAATGATAGAAGGTAAGGTACATGTGTGGTAGTTCAAGCATACTTTGCTAGTGTCATTTAATCTGCAGCTTGTAACGATGGGAATTCTAGCGCAGATAAGTGGTTGACTCGTACCAGTCAATGGCTGACGCATATTCAGAATGCTCTAAACGCAGCTTGCCTGGTTGCCCAATGCCTGGATAAAGAAGGTGCATCTGTACTTGTTCATGGTTCCAGTGGTCAAGATAGTACTTTAATCATAACTTCTATTGCCCAAGTCATACTCAATCCGGATTGCAGAACAGTGAGGGGTAAGTCTGGCTTGGAGCCTTTTGTGTTGATTGATGAAAACTATTTTTCTAGGCCTCCAGGCCCTGATAGACAGGGAGTGGCTACAAGCTGGGCACCCCTTTCAAGTGCGTCACCAGAAATTGTGCTTTTCCAATTCAAGGATGAAAGGAGTTCAGCCGACGTTTTTGATATTCCTTGACTGCGTTTACCAATTGCATTATCAGTTTCCATGCAGCTTTGAATTCAAAACTGACATGCTTATTTTGCTGTTTGAACACTCTTATTTCAGTCAATTTGGTAGGTGAAATTTGCGTAATTGTTGTGAAATTGAAAGCTTGTAATAGAAACACTTTTATCCAAATCAGAACTCCCCACAAGCTATGAGCCCCGATACTAGTAATCAGATACAGATAATTTATTCATCATTGAAGTTTTTTACACAATGGTACAAAACTTATCAGACTAGTCAAAACATATGGTATTACAACTTATAAAAACTTTATAGAGCTCACAAGAAAATATGAAAAACAGACAGTGCACCAAACAGTGAGGTACTCCTCTATTGTATAAAAAGTATTTTCATTAAGGTAATTGAATAATGTTGTTTTGAAGGTATTAAAATTTTTTATTTCACCAAAGATCCTATTGAAACGGTTATAACATAGAATTCCTTGGTATTTTGGAGAATTCTGTCCCACACTAAGCCTAGACAATGGAAAGCGAATTTCATTTTTATTCCGCGTTTGGTGTTGGTGAATTTCACGATATTTTAGTAAAATGAAAAAATACTACCCCCCTTCTTACTTTTGAACAAATCAAGACATCAAGGCGATCTTACAAAATTAACACAAAGAAACTCATTTTTAGTAGTTTGTACTAAGATGAAAAATGATAGTGTGGCACGACTCACCACCAAAATTCAATACATTTTTTTAAATAGAAATTGTGGTTCTTGATAGTGTGGTATCATTTGTCACTAACTGAGCGCTATCTATTTTTTAGTAGAAAGAATGGTCTTGTGATATCTATTTATTAGAATTTTCAATTCTCTATTCAAAACTGGTTCATTTTTTGAAATCGAACCAGCTATTCCCGAGAAATCACCAGTTTAATATTTTTTGCAAATGATAAATATAATTTCGATAAACACACTCTAGAGTATTATCTCATAATTTTCATCATTCACTTCATGACAATTATGAAATTTGTTTACAAATTTATTTCTTACGTTATGAATTGTTCTGAGATAACTTTATTAAAAGCATTCTTATTCTAGTAAAGAGTTCTAGAATGGACTGTAATGAATACTTCAGATTTCACAAATCTCCTTGAAAAGGTCATATCAGGTGATCTAGCAGGCCAATCTAAGATCAGTCACTCTCAAACCAACCCATCTAATGTTCAGCACTATTTTGCTTGAAGTGTCATATCAGAAACTAACCATGAGTGCTAGTGAAAAGCCAGGAAAAAATTCCACAGTACGGTGGCCCTCAAACAAGACAAATGATACTCATGTAGTGGACGATGGTTGTGAAAATTCAACTACTTCATTTGAATTTGCTTGAACTATTTCATCATTCATAGATCTAATAAGATTTTGCAGCATATTGCTTTACAGAGGATCAAGTAAAATCTTCAAAAAATATTGGTCCTACATTGTGGTTGAATAATATGGTCCAACAGTATGTAGAATTTTTCATATATTCAGTGGGCATACTTGAAGACTGGCTGTAAATCAAATTAACTGAAAGAGCAATTTGTTCAGGCCAGTCTCGACTTACCTACATTGTAGGTTATTAGACTGACACCTATCAGAAAACAACTATTCCCCTGGCTAATACCACTGAGGGCGTTGGATTATATCCAACAGGTGTCAGTGCAGGAATCTTCACAGTATTAGCCAGGGGAATATTTGTTTTCTGATAGGTGTCAGTCCATCAACCTGCAGAGTAGGTAAGTTGGAACAGCAGTGGGTCCACAGTTGGATTCCTTTGGTAATCAATACTCGACTAAAATAACTAGTTGGTAATGCAACTTATCATCAATGATTGATTCCAAAAAGATTTTTTATTCAATGAATTATTAGAAATCTTAAAAAGAATTATGAAAAGCCCATCTCTCACACGACTTTGATCAGATTTCTCAAGTGGTTCAATTTGTTTAAAAACCTGCAGACTTATACTTCATCAGAAATAACTTTAATAATTATTTGGAGTAACGCTATAATAGTTCAGTTGGAAATATTCTTCAGAATGAACACATGAAGGTACTTTGTGTTATCATCTATTGTTTTGTTTGCCCTATATTGTTTACCTTATAAGAAACTGTACATTTTGATCTACTTGATTTTCCACTCTCGTTTTTCTTTTTTTTCTGTATGTACTGCTGATAAAATTGTTTTTGAATTTTTTCACACTTTTTAAGGAACAGCATACAGATTATTATAATAGCTTATATTTGAATCAATTTGCCTTTTGCAAAAAAAAAAATTAGAATTTGCTTACTAACTCTTTTAAGGTGGTATATAATACCAGGCAAAACAATTCAAATTATTACTGCCTTCTTTAATCCTGAAAGAATCAATTATTTACAATGGACAACCACATTTCGGAAAACAAATTGAACATTTATTAAATTGATGGATGTAGCCGTTACTACGTGGTAGGAGATCATGATGAAAAGATAAATGAAAATTTCTATGGTTTTTATCACTTTTATTCGTAACTAACGTTACTGCAGTTTCGTCCTATATGTTGTTTGAGTTTGAGAATGTCCATATAGGACGAAACTGATTCGGAAAACAAATTGAACATTTATTAAATTGATGGATGTAGCCGTTACTACGTGGTAGGAGATCATGATGAAAAGATAAATGAAAATTTCTATGGACAACCACATTTCGGAAAACAAATTGAACAAATTGATGGATATAGGCGTTACTACGTGGTAGGAGATCATGATGAAAAGATAAATGAAAATTTCTATGGTTTTTATCACTTTTATTTGTAACTAACGTTACTGCAGTTTCGTCCTATATGTTGTTTGAGTTTGAGAATGTCCATATAGGACGAAACTGAAGTAACGTTAGTTACAAATAAACGTGGTAAAAAACATAGGAACATATTATTATTATTACACTTTTGTTTTGTTATAAAAAAAAAGTGTGTGTTGCTTTTAGGTACATTTTTGGGTAACTGTGAATCGGAACGAACAAACATAGAACTGAACAAAAAAACCACCAGCTTGTGGTCATATCTTAACAGACCCGACGTCCTAACCTCTCTATTGAACCCCATATATGATCCCAACAAGTCACCGATATGGCCTAGTGTTGCGCCTGTCAGTATCGTTTTGTGGGCAGATCTCTATTTAAGGTAATTTATTTATTTATTCATTTGTCTTCTTTTCTCAAGTTGTGTTGTGTTGTCAGGTGGGTCATAGATCAACAACAGAACAAAAAAGTACTGGTCAAGATACAAAAACTTGTCCAGCACAGCAAGGATCTCAGAAGTACGGCCGTGAAGTTAAGAAAACAACTTTTGGACAAATTGAAGGAGTACGAGTCCTTGGCCTCAGAGTGTAAAGAAGAAGAGTGAGCCATATTCAGTCCCTACAGGACCTATTGGGTGCTAACTTGTAATTAGGACAATCCTATTTGAGAAAATCTTAGAAAATGTTTTCAGCTTTTTATACAAATAACATAAACAACTTGCCATTCTTCAAAAATTGAAATACTTGTTGATAGTTTTCTAAGGTTTATCTGGTATCTTCATATCAGTACTCGGTCAATTTTTATTGGAGCCTAGGCTCTAGATGAATCATCAACATTCCTCGGAAAATTTTAAGTCAATTGTACATATTTGGCAGTATCGATGCATGAATTTCCATTGCCTCTTTCCATTGCAAGTGTGCTCAATTCCCGAACTTGGTCATATTTTTCAAAATATTCATGGCTCTACCCTGGTGTCAATTGTCAAAATGAAGCCATTATGTGATAAAGTCAATTCCCCTTTATTTACAAATCAGTGCGAACAAAAGAGTGATGATCTCCCTGTAGTCTGTCCATTTTCATACTACTTTCTCAAGTTATATTTCATGCAAAATATTGTTTAGAAACTTATTATTGTTAAGGCTGCCACATTTTTGGTAGTTTATGCCAGGAACGTTTATAGAACTTTTACTTTGCATTATGTAGTTTAGTGAAATAAAAAACATTTCTAGAGATGATTTAAAATTTATTTTATGCGTGAAATATTTATTTTCCATTTTTAGATCTCCATTAAATGGATAAAACCATGATTCAACTGAGTTTTATTAAACGCCAATAACAAAAAATTTTTTTAGGATTGTCAAAATTCAAATTTGTGTAGAGGAAAACTTATAGTGGTTAACACCCAAAACATTTTTTGGGTGAAGTTTTTCTTTTTCCAGCTATACTTTTAATATACAGGTCAAAAATAAGATAAAAATTATCAAAAATTCAATATATTGGGAAAAAGCTTTTTGTCTTTCTACTTCCCTATTTTCATACTAGGAGTGTGGGAATCTTCCAAATGGAAATTAGTAATATAAAAATAAAGCTAATTACATTATCTGACAGAAATAAAAAGTGAAAACTATCGAGGAGAGATACAAAAGTATATGTGGTCTACTTAAATAATCATCTGCAGACCGTGGTCTGCAGATGATTATTTAAGGAGGAATATCTGTGAGACTAACATCTGTGAGGTATCTAGTATAAATGTCTGTCAGATATAATTCAATATCCAGCGTGGTATTAGCCGGGGAAGTAGTTGTTTTCCGACAGACGTTTACCAGAGCCTACTGTGTAGGTAGTTGGGAGAGATTAATATTTTGAAATATTTATTGTCTTTTATATATATTAGCTGTGACAGACAGAATTCTGAGGAATCTTTGTCCTTACTAGAGGAATACGAAAGTAATTTCTTGATTGGTGAAGTTCACACTTATAACATTTTATCAAGTAAATATTTAGGGTGCCTGTCCTATTTTAATCTTTTTGACTGTGAAATTAAATCCAAATTATAGTAATGAAAGCAAAGGGAAAATTATTTTAAAATTAGGGTATCAAATAGTACAAAACAGAAAATGAAATCACACATTTGAAAAAATTGACAAAATATATATTTCACTTTCGACATGGACATTTATAAATATCTACAATAGCTTTACTCCAACAAGTGTAAAATTTTCCACAAATATGTAAATAATTCATCTGTAGAGAGAAAAAAACGACATTTGACTTTTTTAAAGCACCTGGTAAGTAGTCTGAAGACATGAAACTGCATAAAATTCGAGACTATCAATATAACGATAACAAGAAAAAAGAGAAATGTGATGTAACAATTTCATTAACTTTATCTCGGTAGAAAAATATAAACATTGCACCTATAAACTTTAACGCTTATAACCTGAAAAAATACAAATATATAAAAAACGCATTTCTCACCAATTTATACAATTTGCAATTATTATCGATAATCTTCATACGTGTGAATAGTCTTCTAGCAATGACTCCCCATACCTCACCATGATATAGTCATGGTAGTACATCATGATACAGAGGGGTTGGCCTAAGATTATGGATGACCAGAACACCAAATTTCCAAACCTCAATCCGTAGGTCCGCTCCACATATTTAGAGACAAAGGAGAGCGGAATTTGTCCCATCATGCCCATGAAAGCCCATATTTTGTATGTTTTCAGAGGAACACTTACCTAAAAACAGTAATCGTAAAGCCATTAGCAAAGATTTTGTAGTTTTGTGAGATAGTGAATTATACATGCATATATATGTTGAACCACAAATGAGTAAAAAAGTATTAAGGCATTATACAACATTACAAAAATACAAATAAGAACACATGCATAGAAAACAATATAAAACTAGTCAATGTTTGAAAATACAACACAATAATTGAATATATACGAGGTCTGTTAAAAAAAACTATGTGAATGTTCAAATTTCACGGGCTATGTACATTCGATTAGCGATTTTTTATGTTGGTACACTTGTCTCGAACATATGTTCGTAGTTTCAGCTATTTAGCTGGTTTAGTTTTTTGGTGAGAGGCATAAAAGTTAGAAGTTTTTCGCGTGTTCAGCGATTTTCTGCTATAAAAAAAATTAATCAAAGAATTTGCATAAAATTCTGTATAAAAAATGGAATTGAGTGCTAAAAAACACTTGAAATGTTGACGGTGGCATACGGTGATTGTACTCTGAGCCAGCAAAATGTGTACCAAGTGGTACAGGCTTTTCACAGAAGGATTAAGAGAGGTAGTCTCAAGGAAAACAATATTTCTATTTAGTATTGTAGGATATGATCAAAGATGTGATATGCCTTATTTGGAGTATGATGAATAGGGGATTGACTATCATAATTAAGAATTATCATGAAAGCTCAATTTTGTTTCCTTTGAAGAATAAAAACGAAATAGATGAACAGTAATGAAAAAGTGAATGTTTTATAGTTTTATATACAATTAAATTTGTCCAGTAATAAAGGTTTTTTCTGATTCTTCAAAATAAATTGATTTCTATTCCTAATGTTCATGTAATATATTGTACATGTTTGAAAAATGTTGAATATTCATCAACAATCACACTCAAATATATCATTTGCCCATTTTTTCCACATTTTCTATATATCGTCCAATAATATGAATGAAATTTTTTGGATTATATCCAGGCACTATTTGTTTGTTCCTCAATAACATAAATTAAAATTTTTAATATTCAATTTCAAACCATTGTCTTGTACCCATCTGTAAATAATATGTAGTTCTTCATCTATATTTATAAATGTGAAAGTAATTCTCTTAACCCTTTCTATATGAGGGTGTTTTTTTATGAAGTACTCTCTGTACGCAGGTTTTTTTATCTGACGTATAAGTGCGACAGTCGTACTCAGACCAATTATAATGAAATAAAAATGCAAAATATTCATTTTATTCATAAGAAAAATCAATCTATTGATTCACAAAAAAAAATTATAGATAATTCTACGGTTTGAAGAAAGAAAAAATAAAGGAATACTTTAAAAATTCAGAACGTCTTTTTGGTGTGATACAGCTCAAAGCAAGGTGTCACACACAATCCGCACTGGTAAGTTATTTCAGTTCTTTTTTTATTCACAGAACATACTGCACACCTTCTAACGGAGGGTCTTGCAATAGATTTGGATTTCGGTATCTTTTTTATGAAGTGTCTTGCCGTGAGTCGTAAGGGTTAGTATAGAACAGAATTTGTTTCATTTTCATCAGATTCAATGTTATCTGGCGGTTCATCATGTTCTGGCTCATCGTCGAATCCCTCTCCATCTTCACTTTCTTCACTACTGAAGATACACTCGTTATCATCCACGTCAGATAAATTGTCGGCTATATTTTCCAACTCTTTTTGGGTTAAATACCTGCGAGACATGTTTACAGTGTTTACTCTTTGACAAAATGATACTGACTGAAACACGTGCCTTCAAACAGTAATATTTTACCTATCAAATGCGCAGCCCATGAGGTTGCAAATACAGAGTTATATTACTCATGTCCAGCTCGCCGTATTCCTAAGACACTCGTGAAGCTGTCCATTATCATTTAAACTTGTACGACACTCATACTCACATGGACGTACGTATACATACGGCACTCGTATAGAAAGGGTTACCAGTCATTCATCTCTGTTTCCCCGTACTGGTAAATCCTAGGAAGCTAACATTTTGTATATAGTTGCTTCTTAGGTCTTACCCCCCGTAGGGGTAAAAGGGACACATTAACCTTTTCATCACTGTTTCTCCATACCGCTAAATTTTTGGAGGCTGAAATTTTGTATGTATGTTCGTTTTATGTTGTAGATGTGCAATAAGAAAGAATTTTCAAATATTCCAACGGGTGCGCTAGACGCGGGGAAAAAGGCGCTATTAGTACTACAACTACCAAATTCTACGCGGGCGAAGCCGCGGGCAACAACTAGTCTCTTTTATAAATATTATGTATAAACTTAGACCTAACACTGTACACTGAGAAACGCCAAACACGTATTCCTCAATGGAGGCAATAATAATTGGTAATTTGGATTTTATCAGTTGAATAATAACATTTCCACCTAAACCCATTTTCAACAATTTTTGTATCAAGCAAATTTCTATTCATGGCCTCGAAATCTTTTTTCACATCTAAAAAAAACAAACCTCAATGGTATTTTTTTAGTATCTATTTGATTTTTCCAGTCAAACAAAAAGTCTTTCAAATAATTTTTTTTCTCACGAAATCCAAATCTAGACGTGATTAATATTTCATTAACATTCACTTACCATATATTCATGAAAGAAGGCACTTATAAAAAATACCGCCACGCCACCGATGAATTTGCTGTACCCCATATCTATCATCGGAAAGTACAGATGCCTCACCGCCCATCTGTGCACCGGAAGGTTCCACTTGCGCCAGAAAGTGTCCATATTGTTGGCGTTCCACCAATCATCGTAGAAGCTCCTGTCTGCAAAGTGCAATATCTCTCCAAGCAGGTTGAGCCAAGAGTGGAACACAACGTAGAACATACAGAGCCAGGCAAGGTGGTTTGGAATCTAAAATCATTCAATAGAGCTGTCAGGAATAGAGGGGGGGTTACATTATTGAAGTTGTACAGGACCAACAGATGGAATTCCATAACAATTCTTTGTCATGATTTACAACAGGGTTAATGTAAACTTTCTACCTTAGGAATCCAAAAGAAAACTGCAATGATGTGTAATAAGGTGATATAGAGACAAAAAGAGAGAGAAAAATACGTTTATTGTCTTAAGAAAACAAATTCCCGTTGACAAACGTTTTAGAGCTATGGTAAGAACAATATAAAAATGATTCAATTATCGAGAGTAATACCACAAGACCTCAAAATTTTATCGATAACTTTCTTTTTCTTCAAGGCGAACTTCATTATTTAGCAATGAAAGCAAGTTGCATGATAAAACTGCGACTCGTAGGACAAGATATTGACGCGGCTAGATGCGTCACAAGTATGTCGTTTATTCTTTATGATCACATTGAAATTCAGAATAACGTTTACATGATCTCGAGATTTCTGGATATCATATACAAATTGTTGGTATTCAAGGTGGTGTTCGGATTGAAGGACTGTTGCCTTATTTTCGTAAGGTTATGTGAATCAGTGAAGTATGGCAATTCGTTTTTCATTTCTATCTCTTGTATCTGTGTACTGTATTAGTGAGTTTTATTTGATTTAAATTTGCATGTGAGTTATCTCAGTATAGTTAGGGTCTACTTACTGTCATAATTATAATATTAAACTGAATTTCTGTAGAAGCATTTATGCAATGTTCAATTATTTAGACACAATCATATTCAAATATTTGATTCCATTGTTTCAATTTCATTAGGTTATGTTAAGTAAGGTCCAATGTGAGTGGGTCTATTCCACCCTCCACCGCAACCCGTTAAGGTTCCATTCATTAGGACAGTGACACTGATTGAAATTGTGAGAATTATGCATAACTAGGCTCTGAGAGTCACATATGATTCAAGAATAATTACTCCTGGATATTAATTTCATGGATTTCATTCTTATCGATGACAAGAAGATTGCTGTTAGGAAGGAGCATTAATTCGCTGTAAAACTTTGTTTCAGAGGCCGAGCTTTCAATTCTTTCATCATTTTATTGGTTTGAAGGAAATATCTGGTTTAAAACTCTATTTCGGAGGCCTAGTCTTCAATTTCGTTATTATTTCATCGCTGTGTGAAGTTCTAAAAATTGAAATGTCAATTTTACATTAAGGATAATATTATTCAGTTCAATGAAAGCTCGTTAAAGTTGCACCAGCTCCTTATTTTTTTTCCATGAGGTAAGGGTCATAAAGCAATGTGGAATTTAATTGTTTGGAATGTTCAGAAATCAACAGATTCAAGAATTGGAAACATTTATGGAATGTCCAAATAGAATTGACTAATTCCCCTTTTCAAATTTATTTCCTAATGTTGAAATTGGTATTTAGTTGATAAGTAAACTCAAGTACATAAAGCATCAAACGTGATGGCGAGTGATAGCGCAGGTATAGACTCTCCCAACTAAATTACTATTGGATTACGATAAGCCCCTTGCCGGTCAGTATCGTACATATAATAAGTTTCAATTAGGGTAGCAAATGGAACATGACTTCTTTGTAATTTCTTTTCATACTTTATTTAGTATTATAGGTAGTACAGGTCATTAAAATGTTATATAGTGATACACTTATTCAAAAAATAAACTTTTGTTAGGAGATTACATTTTTTTCAGAAACAACACAAATTATTCAGACAATCCCTAACGCCAACAGCATTCGAGGACAAGTAATGATACACCTCTGTATAGAGCATTTGTAAGTCTTGCAAGAGCTCTAGGCGGGGTTACATTTGATTGCGCAGGTATAGACTCTCCCAACTAAATTACTATTGAATTACGATAAGCCCCTTGCCGGTCAGTGTCGTACATATAATTAGTTTCAATTAGGGTAGCAAATGGAACATGACTTCTTTGTAATTTCTTTTCATATTTTATTCAGTATTATAGGTAGTACAAGTCATTAAAATGTTATATAGTGATACACTTATTCAAAAAATAAACTTTTGTTAGGAGATGACATTTTTCTCAAAAACAACACAAATTATTCAGATAATCCCTAACGCCAACAGCATTCGAGGACAAGTAATGATACACCTCTGTATAGAGCATTTGTAAGTCTTGCAAGAGCTCTAGGCGGGGTTACATTGAAAATGAGTTTGTGCGCATGGGAGAGTACTCGCCATCACGTTTGGCGCTTGCTATAATTTGTTTATTGCATATCCGTTTTAATGTGTTTACTACTTAAATAAACCAACAAACTATTAGATATTTCTTCATTATATGCAGTGAAAATGAGCACTTTCATTCATTTAGTAAAAAGGAACCTACGACATTCAAATCTATTATTCAGAATTGAACAATAATGATGTTGGTAAATTGCGACTTCAATATTGGACTTATTGTTGAATTCCGAATTTCAACTGGGAATATTATTAAATTTCGACTTATGGTTAGAAATGGTTAAATTCCGAATTTGAACTCTGAATTAGGTTAAACTCTGAATTTTAATGAGTTTCCACTTCAAAATCGAAATTTTGTGATTTTTTAAAATCATTTGTGGCTTCTCCCAGACAACTCATCAGTCTCGGGTTGTCTTTTATCTAAAATCAGTTTTTTCCTTGATCAGCTGCCAACCTTGTTCAAACGACAACTCTCAGAAGTAGAAACTTGTGCAAGCTAAGAACTAATAAGGTCTTGCCTTTTAACGTGGTGCGATTTATGAAAGACATGATCTCAGAATATATGTGAATGAAAAATATCACTTCACGTCATTAATACCCCTACAGGGAATCTATATCTGAAGATAGCAACATTTCAAAGGTATAACCAAAAAATATATACTTACAGCTAATTTCAGTAATCTCTCCGTTGCCCTAGTATAGTCCATGTTGCTGAAGGGAATAAGAGAATTTTTGACGGACGGTATCATGTATTGCTGAATTATACAAAATGTAATTTGTACCCCAATCAAAACCTCAAATATCCGTTTCATGAGGAATCGCTTACGTATACGATCAGTTCTTGGGAAATTGAGTTCGTAACACAAAGTTGGCACACACAGAAAGTAGTAGAGGTCCTTAAGGTTCAAATTGTCAGGGTACTGTACAAGCTTCTTCAATTCCTTCTTTTCTTTGTTTTGTTCCAGTTTATTAGATTTGCCTTTGAAAAATAAAGTTTTCAATTGTAATTTTCATGATACGATTTTAATTTTAGACTTACATTTTTTCAAATCGGTAGAGGACAACGATTGTCTTCTTAATTTGTGAGTTTGTCTCGCTGTTCGGCACCACATATTCACTTGGACATAAGACCACAATTTCAAAAAAAGAATACTATATAGGGTGGTCACACATGAAGCTCCAACTAGAAGAATGCATGTTCAAGAATATTGTATAGAAATTATAATTTCAGTTGTAATTACCTAAACTGAAACCATCTTTGATGTGTATAATTATCATAGGCAACAATATTAGTACCAATAAGTTAGTTATGTGGACAGTCATACCTAGACTGGATTGTATAATTTCCTGAAAATGACAAAAATTTAGCAAATTTAACAATATCAAGGTGTTATAGATCTTACCGCTGCCAGACCTTTTTCGGTCAAAAGGCACAAAACTACAGGAACACATGAATCTGCAAAAATGTTTATTTTCAAAACACAGTCCATATTATCGTCATGGTACTTGGCTTCAATTTCATAATATAAAACTTATTTTTGAAGTATTTTGCTAGTTGTCCTATTTTTGAAACAGTAGTGAATATTAGAAAGCTACAAAATGGAATATTTCGGATCACAAATAATTAACTCTTGCTGAAAACTGACACGTATCATTGAAGCACGCACACCTTTTTACAATCTTCTAACTACTTGTTCAACTTGATTTCAATGCCTGGAGGCATCCATAAGAGGATGACACCCAAATCCATAATTCCAGAAAATAGGGACTCTTCCGAAAAAGACCGGGTGCCGAGGATATCACATATAACATCAGATTGAATTTTCATAAATCTCTGGGTGCATTTAATGTCACTATGAAAATTGTTTCAGTGATTTTCTCCTGGGAATACGCTCATTCTAAATCTAATTTTATGTCCCCCAACTTTTAAGAAAGCTTTTCAGCATTTGTTAAAAAAGAAATACTTCATTGATGATGGTAATTTTTTTATTTTCATAAAAAAAATTTCACTTTTTTTTCTGATTTCAAAAATGGTTTATCTCCCGATATGGTATTTACTTATCCATATGGACTTCTATAAGATCTGATAATTTGTTTCTGTCTCCCCCTGATAAAAAAAAATAAATGCAAAGATGTAACAATCATCTTTGATGTATACAGCAATTGTGGACATAGATACCTTCAGATTATGGTCTATAATCCATACAAATAGCTTAAATACAATATTTTATAGGGAAGGTTTTGGCTTTCTACTTCTTCATTTTTATAGAAAAATTGTGGGAAAACTTCCAAAGGAAAGAAGAAAGCAAATAATTTCAAAATAAACTCCTCACAAAGATGTGTAGTTACTTTCAGATACAAACTGGAAGAAAAATATATATCGAAACAAGTACTATCATATAAATATTGAATTACACGAAAGAAAAAGTACTTTCGAAAAGACTACTTTTATATAAACATTGAATTATCTTTATACAGAAAAGTGAATGAATGTCATTAGATAGTGTCATCGTGACATGAGTAGATTTAACTATTTCATGACATGAATTCGTAAAGTTATGAAGGAAGTGAGTGGTTCATCTTGTGATGTTATTCAAATTGGTGCTGATGAGCGAATAAGACGAGTTTCTCATTCCGAAACATCAATGTCTGCCATTAAGGACGAGAGTCTTCCATGTTGGTGAAATTTCATCTACTTCACATACTAAATTGTGTAGCCTTCACGTGAATGATATCTGATTCAATTTCGTAACGAATGTTTGGAGTAAAAACGGTATTGTTTTTGAAAATACTTTTTCTTTCTTGTAATTTAATGTTTATAAGAAAGTAGTTGATGTACACACACACATGATCTACACATATTTCTAAAGATATAATTTTGAAATTGATTGCTTTCTTCCTTCCTTTGGAAGTTTTCCACATTTTCAAAATATATCTCTATCNAATATGTCATAAGTACACCACACATTTACTTTAATGGGTTGTGTATGAAAACTCCCATTTATTTACATTGTAACAAAGTAAAAGATGACATAAAAGTTTGGTGGGGCCAATACATATTGTAATATCTAGATAAAATTAAACGTGTAACAGTCTAGAGTACAAGACACTCTTATTTCCGCCAAGACACATTATGTATTGGATTTATTGAATCACTTTATATACACTAAGTAATGCAATGGTTGATATAGAAATTATTACTACTATCTTACACTTAAAATGAGATTAGGCTCTGGACCTAAAGCTTGAACCAATTTAAAAGGCATACCAGCATCATTAAACAATGTGTGCCCTACGACTTTGAGGCAAGAGGCAAGCCACTATGATCTTCAGATTAAAGGGAAGTGAAGGTATCATGCCACATAGCACTCCTATTATCATTATTACTATTATTATGTTCACATTGATATTAGTTGATTACTGAGTTCAACTCACGGTTTGTCTGGTTGCTTTCTCCTCACTTTATTTTCCTCGGCTGTTATTTCTTCGGCTCTAGTAACACTTCTTGTCCTTCGTCGAATTCCTTCAACATGCTCAGACATTTTTTGTTCTATTTTTTAATTCCACAATGTTTCTTTTCGAGTCATAACAATCTGATTAAACTGGAGAAGGCCTCGTAACATGTCTCGTATCATTAACCTTTGATATTGTTATCAGCTTCAGATTATCTGAAATGTATCACAAATAACTATGTTCAAAAAGATATTTTTAATTTACTTGCCGCACCTTTTGAAGTTCGAAGTTCACAAACGACCATAACCTCACCTCAGTTACAGATTCCTTTTTTTTAAGTCTTAGAAATAGTTTCCTGTAAAAACAACAAAAAATAATTTTGACTTTATTTTCAAACCGTTTCTCAGTTATCGCGTTTTTAACAGGCGTACCTTTATATACAAAGGTTGTACTAATAATAATTTTTATTTATGATTGGACAATGTATATTACTGTTTCAATTCTTTATAAAATATANTTTTTCAAAAATCGTAAAACTATTTTTGGACGTTGCCATACTCCTGTTTGAAATATCAAGCTCAATTTAAATTTTGTTTGAAATGATGTTTGTTGCGGTACCAAACACTAAACATTAATGTCATAACCTCAACTGTCATACCTCGTTCCTTACCTTTTTTGCCATTTTCATGATATATTGTACTTAATAATATCTACTTTTCATATTCAAATTCCAATAAGGGTGGCGGTCACCAAGGGGCGGAGGAGGAGGAGGTATGACAGTTGGGGTTGTGATAGAAAGATGACCCCTTTGAATTAAAAATCGATTTTTAAGAATTTTATTCTCAACAAATGTATCTTGAAGATATTCGATTCGTTTCGTTTTCGGTGCGGCACACTGTATAAAACTCAACATCAGGACGTGTTATTCAGAAAGATTTATTAACTGTCCCTTTCAATTGAAAATATATACCTATTATTTATCAAAATGCGACTCTAGCTCGATAGAGTTTGTTCTATAGGGTTAATAAGATACAACTTTTTCAAATGCCTTCGATCAAAAAAATTTATTTCTGAATGTTTTCGAAAAATTATCAATTAAGTCAGTAAATGATGAAGAACTTTAATTCATGTTATTAATGACCTAATTCAAAGCAACAATCAACGCCAGAAAAATATCATATGTTGCGGACTTTAAAATGGTGTCATTTATTTTGACACCCTGTCCTCTTCTACGCCACTGACTCAACCCCTGACCAACAGGTAAAAATTTCCGTCACCCTTGTTGAACTTCCCCCCGCGCAATGTTCGATTCGGCGCAATCAGCTCCAGTTTGTGACCCGAACTTCCTCAATATGGCGTTATGAAATTTCTGTGAAACTACGATAAAATCCAAAATGTAAATACCAACCAGTAGATTTGTTCTTTGTTAGTTTTGTCAGGAAACGCTAGTTTAGTTTTGCATGCGAATTTCGCTTCAGTAGCTCACCAGAAGGATAGAAAACTTTGCACGTGTTTGGGATCCAGCTTGGATCGATAACGGTTGCGAATATCTTTATACTTATAAAGAGAAATTTTGCAAAGCAGATACTTGCAATATGCAGTATCTTATGCGAACACCCTACAGTGCTATTCATGCCAGCCTGAATCTTGAGAGTTTCACTTATCAATATAAAAAAAAAATGTGTACGAGGCCGGATCAATATATTTAGTCACATTGTGAAATGTGCTGTCTTTTCCTAACCTATTTTGCTAATTCGCAGTGCCATATCTTTCAAGAATTTATTTCATCTGATCACTGCAAAAAGACCCAAAGGTTGAAATCGATAACATGAGAAATCAATAAGGATTTTTTTTCCATCAGTATGTCATTGGTATATCTAAACTGAAAGAACACCCAAAGTGAATGATATTCAACTTTATTATTGAAGATATTCCATTCAATTGGGACAATACTTATCCATTTAGCTTCGTTAATAACATTTTTTAAATTTTCTATGAATTCCAAATTGTAGGAATTTTATGTTCTCAACCTTCGAGTTTGAAATCGAGAATTTCTTTTTCAATAAATTGTCGTTTGCCGTTCAACTTTTCAAAACAAGTAATGTTTCCCTGATCATTTGTCATTGATATTTGCCGGGTCGAAAGTAATTGTTGCCGAAAAATATCCTCATCCCAAAAATGTTCAATAGTTAATAAAAAGATTCATTTAATATTGATTTTTGTAACCGATCTGGAAAATTGTATTTTTCAAACTTGGCTACAATATGGTTTATGTCGTTTGTTATTGTTTATCTTGGAAACTCTCAAGAGTCCGACAATGCAACAATAATAATAATAATATTAACGCGACATATCGTGTTGCATTGCATCTAAATTTAGAATATAAAAACACTAGGTTGGTTGTGAAAAATATGGTGCTTTCGTAATTCTGTGATAAGTTGTAATTGTTTGAAAACATCTAATTTTCAGTAAATCTACCAACTTTCGGAAATATTTCTCATACCAGTTTCACTGTAGAATATAATACATCAATTTCGAATTGTTCGAGATGACATCTCAAGAAATCATTAATGAAAATATTGTACATTTAAACAATTGAGTCAAAATTATTTGAAATTGTAGTTTCATATTCGAAATTAATATTGTTGCAAAATCACGTCTTTTCCTGCGAAAAAACTAACTTTACTGATATTTTGTCTAAAACTTTTTATCAACTTCCCCAGTCATGCGATATTTGATAACCTAAATTTTGATTTCAGCCTTACGAAGTGATGTTGGATATCAGCATTAGTGAATTTAGATTTGCAGTTGTTTATTATAAAAGATAGTTCAGCGAAAAGAAATCATTCATTTTTGACCAATCGGCATATTGAAAATGGACTTTGGAATCACATTTCACATGACACGTGATGATTCATTACAACTTCGATTTGAAATAAAAAGAATAATAGTATTGCACAGCATACAGGAAAATTCAAGAATAAAAAATAAACTTCTACAATCTGAAAAAAAACCCAAATAATCGTAATGGGTAACTTTATATAGATGTAGAAAGGGTAAACTGTTTAGTACACTACGATAAGTTACTGCGTATATTCATTATATTATTCTCAAAGAAAAATATTCTGTTTATCAGTAACTTTTATTTAATGATTTTGCCTATAGAGAAAAAAGTTAAGATTTTTATAGGGTACTTATCTTAATGGGTGCCCGACCTAAATCTTTAGAATTAAAAATCTGTTATTATTTCGCAGTACCAACTCTCCAGGAAAGTTTTCTTTTTTTCGAACCCGTTTCTCAGATCTCAACGAAAATTTTCAAAATGGAATTAGTCATCATAAAAAAAGATTTTTGTTTACTAACAAAATCACATTTCATTACTGGGAAATCGGAGTTTTTCTCGTCATTCTACCTTTTTAAAACGTTACTGCGATTGAAACAATCGAATAATTTTGAGATTTCAATCCTTCACAGGTGATAATTTTGTTCAATTCAGAATAATTGTTGAAATCCGTTTGCACAGATTTTTTCGCATTAAAAATAATCAAAATTATGCACCGAATGACGACAATTTTTGTAGATCGAGAGCTTTGTGTACTTCTGTTATACTCTTTTCTCCAAGATGAGGAAGGTCAGCATGTGAAAATAAAAAGCCATGGGAAAGAAAGTCGGTTGAATCGGAAAAATCTTGCCATTTTGGAGTTCATTAAACTGACGTTTTGAAATTTGGAAAATTACGATTCGTTTGGAACGATATTCGAAAGAAACCAAAATTCGCCAATTTCGTTTTAATTTTTCCTGACCTCATTTAAGAAGGTATTGTTTTTTTCTCATTTCTCATTAAAGTTGTAAAAGATGGCATTTACAGATACTCAATCCGACGTTTAAACTCCGAGAAACCAGCACCAATTTAAATTTTTCATATAGACCGGTTAAAAGAATCAGTGATGTATAGTCATAATTGTTTAATTAGTGAATTTCAAAACGCCATTTAAAAAAGCTCTAAAATGGGCAACTTTTTGCTAATTTACCCGATTTCGTTTGTCTTTCGATTTCCGATACTGGCCCTCCTCATCTTGAACACGCTGTATATGTTAATACGTTTTAAATTTGATTTGTTTTGTCATTTTCTGTAATTTTGTATTCATTGTATATTGTATACTATTTTCTATCATACATTGCAGACTTTTGTGTGACAGCAATTAAAAAATGGAAATGTAAAAGAACAATAACTATTAATTGGCATTTTTCTTTCAGATACCTGCAGCTCCTCCATTCAAGATGGACGTTCTTTGAAATTAACAATTGAAACCATATTTATTTTTTCTTATTATCAAAACTAAAACAATTATGTTGGAACCGTACTCTTCCGAACTATTATGGCTTGTCATTTTGGGTTTCATAATTGCTTTCATTTTAGGTGAGTATGCTCATAAACACAATGTCCTTCAAAAAACCAAATGAATACTTTCAGCTTTTGGTATTGGAGCCAATGACGTTGCAAACTCCTTCGGTACCAGTGTGGGATCAAAAGTACTGACAATATTCCAAGCGTGTTGCTTAGCAACCGTTTTCGAAATATCCGGAGCAATTCTAATCGGTAAAAACAACTGAATTAGTTATACGCTCATTTAAACCAATCTAAATTTTTAGGTTATAAAGTATCTGACACAATGAGAAAAGGAATATTAGATGTAAACGTTTACCAAGATGCAGAAATAGAGTTGATGTTAGGTTCCATTAGCGCTCTTGCTGCCAGCGCCACCTGGCTGATGGTTGCTACTTTCTTCAAGCTACCAATTTCCGGAACACACAGTATAGTAGGCGCAACGGTCGGATATAGCTTGGTCATACGCGGAACCCAAGGCGTTCAATGGAAAACTTTAGGCAAAATAGGTCAGTAAAAGTAACTTACGAGAAATAAATCGCAGCCTAACCTCACTTTTAGTTGGTTCCTGGTTTATTTCTCCGATCTTGAGCGGTGTCACGTCTTGTTGTATTCTCTGGATAATAAAAAGATTCATTTTAACTCGTCCTGATCCTCTGGAAGCAGGGTTGATATCCTTACCGCTCTTCTACAGCTTCACAATACTCATAAACGTCTTTTCCATCATCCACGACGGTCCGAAGTTGCTGCGCATGGACAACATTCCTCTGTGGATGGCTCTCACAATAAGCGTAAGCATCGCTTTGTTTTTCATGGTTGTAATATGGTTGTTCGTAGTACCTTGGCAAAGGAAAATGATAAAGGACGACATCAGAAGGACGAAAGTCCCGGTCAATTTCGACATCGGCGAGTCGACTGGTAACTTCTTTCTCTTATGTGAGTCGCCAAAGTTTAACTCTATTGTTTCAGATACTTCCCCCGAGGGTAGTCCCAACCGAAAAGCGAACAGGAATTCTGCGCTACTGGAACGTCAATTAACTGTTATATCGGAAAGTACCGAGCTCCAATCGCTGGATCAGAGCAAAATTACGGCTGCGAAATACATTTTTCCGATCCAGACAAGCGAAAAAACGATTTTCAATAACGCTACCAAAGAGACTGCCATTCATAAATACGTTAGACCGACCGAGCTTAAACTAGTTGAAAGTACTACCGTGAATCCCACCTTGTCTCCTAGTTCCAGCGGAGTGCCGTTGATAATGAATAAGAGCTTCGGCAACCAGAGTGATCCAGGTAAAGAAGTTATTGAACGCACCTTGTAGCATAGCCCTCTAAAGTTTCTATCCATGACGATAAAAAATCATTTCTACCATTTAATTTATTTGATCTTTCGAATCACTAAATTTTCAAAATACATATTGTAGATATAATGAAAAGTTGGAACTTCAAAAAAGATTATCAGTGCTATAATGAAATCTGGGAAAACTTATTGAATCATTATGTGGGTACAAATATATTAATATTTGAAAAATGGCACTGATTTCATGAATCTTGTTTAAATGATGTGAATGTCACATGGCATCGTCGCGTCGTATAATCTAACAAAAAAATATGGGAATTAATGTTTCATTGATCTGAGAGAAAATATAGATTGATGTTCAACTTTAATGTTATCTTATATATTTTAAACAGATTTTAAACAGATATTGAATAAATTCCGTCTATCAAAAGTAATATATTCTCCCCTGTATATCTAAAAAACCAAATTATTGATATTCTTATTATTGTTCGACATATGAGATAATTCAAATAATGAAGAGTGTTGTATTGAACGTTTGAAAGTTTCCTTTACTTTCTATATATACTGAATTAACGTTTGTTTGAAAGTGGTTGACAATTTTTTATGGTGAATTTTACTAGTTCGGACTTTCATTGTCTAATATGATACTAACATGATTTGAAATCTCTAAAAGCACAAATGAAATCAGAATGAATAGCTAATATATCAATTATATTAAGCAATAAAACGTGAAATGAAAATACAATAAAAGGAATAAAATAATCAAGATAAAAAGTAAAAATGATCACAGCGTAAAAAGAAATAAAATAGAATAAACACAAAAAATGACTTCAAATCAGATTACTTCATGATGTTTCTATTGTTACTTTCCTAATTTCCTTTGCTTTAATTTCTTTTTTTAATATTTTTTTTATTCCTATAATTTATTGGCAAAAAATATGTTATTTGTATATTTCAATCTATGACTGTGGCCTCCAAAGAGCGTTACCTTATTTAAAAATTTTTAGAATACTCAAAGTTTTGGAAGAATGTACTTGCATTAACAAAAAAAATAATGATTGAAATGTTTTTATAACTGTTTTGCTACTGACCGTTTTCATGTATTCATTCCAGGGCGAGATTCATGTGTCACAGACGTTCAAGAAATTCCAGATCTAACACTTGAGAATAAGAGCGTGTCGAAATTATTCAGTTTTCTACAAGCTTTGACCGCTATGTTCGGAAGTTTCGCTCATGGGGGAAACGACGTAAGGTCTGTGTAAAACAAAGTTGTTAAAAATTAACAGTGTTCTAATTTTGATGAAATCTAAGCCCTTTTCTGTGTTTTTGACAGAGGTCTGGAGATTTTTATGTCTGTTTCGTTTACTGTTGTAGACATCATCAAAGGCAACAGACATAATTCTCTAATTATCTTCACTGTTGTAGTTGCCTCACCGCCTTTTATAATGTCTACCGCAGTTGTACACAAAACTTCATGCATGAAAACATGAAGACCACGACCAACAAACCCGGAAAATAGTTTTGACACTATTCTAATTACCAGTAATTGTTTTTCAGTAATGCCATTGGACCCCTTATCACTCTTTGGTTGATCTACTCTGAGGGAACTGTGCAGCAAAAAGCCGAAACGCCGATATTCATTTTGCTGTACGGCGGACTTGGTATATCCGTGGGGCTTTGGTTGTGGGGAAGGAGAGTTATCGAGACGATTGGGGAAGATTTGACAACTATAACCCCATCTACGTAAGATTATTGCAACCTAAAGTACCTACTTATGGAAATTGCATTGATATTTTGGAGATTATTAATTTTTATTGAAATTGAATTTGATCAATATACACAGTGTTCAAGGTACAGATATCTATCATGGGAATCTCGTATTACCAGAATTTTTCAGCAACAGTTTTTAGATTTTGAGAACGGAAAGGAAAGTTAAGAATATACGAGGTCTGTTAAAAAAATAAGGTTAAGGTTAAAATTTCGTTGGCTACGTACATTCGGTTAGCGATTTTCTTATCTTGGTACACTCATCCCGAATATATGTTCACAGTTTCAGCTGTTCAACATGTTTAGTTTGTTGGTGAGAGGCATAAAAGTTAAAATTGTTTTGCGTGTTTGCCGATTTTCTACTATCAAAAAAAATGTATCAAATAATTTGCATCAAATTTTGTGTAAACGATGGAATTGAGTGCTCAAAACACTTGAAAAATGACAGTGGCATACGGTGATTGTACTCCGAGTCAGAAAAAAGTGGTACAATCTTTTCACAGAAGTTCGAAATGATGTGAATGAGACGCTCTTCCTGGACGCCCCAGCACATCAACAAACCGATAAAAATATTGAGATAGTGAATAAAATTGTTATGGAGAATTGTCGAATCACAATTGAAAAAGTTGGTGAGAATGTCGGCATATCGATTGGCTCAAGCCATGCAATTTTTTCGGAATTGAAGCGTGTGGCAGCGTTTCAAAATTGCTGAATTTTAACCAAAAAAACGTAACTGGTAATGTTAATGACAACCAACATGACTTTTCAGGAATAGTCAACAACGAAGGCATTAATGTTGGTATTTTGACCATGTTTTCTTAATGAGAAATACGCCGTCTATGATTGAGTTTTCCCGTGTCAGGAGTGAGTCGTACAAACGTTTTCAGAATTCTTCATCGAAATAATTGGGCTCTAGTTTCAACTAGTGAACGCTGCAGTGAAAGACAGAAGACAAATCTCATTCGACCGTCGATGTTAAAGCTTCTCTTTGCAACTAACCGCCTTAGAAGGCCTCTTTTATCTTTGAGATGACATCGTGTTGGGATAATGAAAACTTTTACCATAAAATTACCTAGTCCGAAGAGACAACAGTAGCAAATGATAGAATTATCAATCATTGAATGGAACTGGCCAATACTTGATGAAAAGCCGTATCACAACTAACTGATAAGATTTAGTTTGATTGCCTAGGTGAACCCGCGGTTTTGTGAATCTTATTAGTGAGTTTTGAATTTATAATCGGTGAAATACAATCGTCAAAAGACGATCAACATGGTTTTGGTTTGAATATGTACATTGGGATATTTGGAACACATTTTATAGGCCCTCTTTTTCATCATTCCTCTTACATTTTCCGAGATCCCCACGATAGAGATCCTTACCTGGGTCACACTGTATATGTATTTGTTTCCAGGGGCTTCACCATTGAAATTGGCTCAGCTTTCACAGTATTATTAGCAAGCAAGGTTGGCATACCCATTTCAACTACGCATTGCAAAGTCGGCTCTGTTGTCTTCGTTGGCTACTTTAGTTCATCAAAAAAAGGCGTGGATTGGAGTTTGTTCAGGTAGGAAAGGTTTTCGTAACTTGGGCAAAAGTAAAAGCAATTATATTGGTTTTTGCATTTTCTGGATCACCCCGATCGAAATGAAAATAGTTTTTTCGGCAGAAGAAAACTCAACAAGAATTTCTGGACCACCCTTCAGATACAGTGACTCAAAATTAAAATTTGTTTTCATCAAGCAGACTTTTTCTGTCGAGTATGTTTTTTTTCACAATAGACCATATCAGCACGAAATTTTATAATGAGTGTTGAATAGTGTTGAAGTTTATATTTCTCTCCTAAGTCTCTCTGAAGTCTTAACGTAATGATGAAATTTCGAATTTTTTTCTTCATTTGTGCAAGAAGTCAAAAATTCATCCCAAATATTTTAGAAATATTGTAAACTTGTTATTTTGTTGAAATTTTTAAATCTATTTATGGCTCGTATTTGTTCACTACGATAACCATGATATTTTATCATATTTTGAGAAACCAGAGTAGAATTCCGTATTTCTGACAAATCCATCAATTAAAAGAAATGATTATTTTCAGATAATAATTTTAAATTCCATCGACATATTGTTTGGATCCTCAAAATATTTCATATTTTGAAAAACTAGAGTAGAATTACATAATGGCAGATCAACCTAATTGACCTTGAAATGTAAAACAAAACAGTGGGATCAATGGAAGAATAATGTACTGAGATAGAATATTACTGGAGTTTTTTCCCAACACCGAACCGTTATTTTAACACCTCGACACGTGTTTCGATCACCACGTGATCAAACTCAACTTCCTCTTGAAAATGATCACTTTGTATATGTGATCGAAACACGTGACAAGGTGTTAAAATAACAGTTTGGTGTTGGGAAAAAACTCCAGTTATATTTATTACTACACCAAAGGTTCCAAACAGTGCATCACAAGTACTGAGAAAGAGATCATGAATTCTGCGTATTGAGGATTAGAACGACTGGCAGTTGACGTCATCTGACCTAGCCGCGTTCGTCGCTATAAAATATATGTTGGAGTATTTGTTTAGTTTCAGCCATCATACTCAATGAATTATTTGTGATACGAGCGTAGCAATTAATTTGATACTAAGAAAATTAAGCGAATATGAGCATCATCGTCTGGGTCGGATAAAGTCACGCGCAGGACAAAATTATTCTTCAACTGTCCACAATCCTTTCTCACAAATCCACGACAAAGTGATAAAATTTCGAAAGATATGAGTATTTTCAGATATTCATTTCACATTCGTTTATTGTAAAAACATTGCCAACTATATGACTTTGCTACTCTGAAAAATGAAAACAGAAAATCAAACTCAGAAATTAACAATATGAACATATACATATGACAACTGACACTAAATGTCAAATACGCAGAGTATGTATATTAGTATAAGTATACGTATTTGTTTGTATATATTATGTTTTGAATCTGTTAAAGTGACAAATTTGTATCTTTTTAATTATATGAGTTGTTTCGTGACTTGTCCCATAACTTGTAAAAAGTCTTTTGAATGGACCAATAAAATATATCTATCTATACACTGAATTGTATTATACAGTAACTGAAGATAAACTTTTTTTTTCAGGAATATAATATCGGCTTGGCTGATCACAGTTCCCATAGCAGCGTTATTATCTGCCGGTACCATGTTGTTCTTCAATTACATAATTTTAACAAAAAGTTACTAGTGCTGATGTCTCCGAATGATGTTATAGAACCCCTTTTAGAGTACTATAATAATTCGTAAAAGATAGGGATAGTTTTATTTTTTTCAGTACGATCTGAGAAGAGTTCGTTCTTAATTTCGATTAATCCGATGCTGATTTTATTAATTTATCCCATTGATTATTTCGTCGACCTTATAAATATATATTTTTGATAAACGAATGAAACTCATTGAATGTTGCAAAATCTATTGTACGTTAAGGTTTTTTATTGATCCGAATAAATTTCTTTCTATTACATTTCGACTTTTTTCATTCATCATCTCAGAAGCGTGATAAACAATGATGAATGTCTTTAGATGTTCTATGAAACAAGGTTTGATGTCACTTATACTTTGACCAACAAACTTGCAACCTTGGTCAGTCAATTATACTTAATAATATAGTGAAAATACTTTTACCTCATTGGTGGTTCTCGACTGGATTACGAATGCTCTGTCTCAACTCATTTCTTCTAAGTGGAGCTAGATGCAATATATGTGACCAACCCAAAACTCAGAACCCATGCATCAAAATTGTTCTCAAAATCTAGCTTAGTTTAAAAATCACTATTTCTTATCCATTCAAATAAAATACATTTTGACATTTTACCTTTCCAAGCTGAAAGGCAAGGAGTTCTGAACGGACCCTTGAGGTATCTATACCACCAAAGAAAACGGTCTGAAATCGATATCCAGAAAAACACTATGAGTACATTGACATATATGATATATCCAATCATCAGAGGTTGACGTAAAATACAGCGATATGATTTTTCCAAATCAATGTACACAAGAATTTGGATTTAAGTTTTGCTTATCCTTGATTTCAAAGTACCGGGGGTTGCTTTTACCCTGGAGGTGGTTGCTATCCCTTCTCGGAGGTGAAAAATATTTCACTGAAAACAAGTCCGGAAATGGATAGACCGGACAATTCTAAGAAACTTTTAGTATAAAGTTTTTTCAGAAACTCAATACTTTTTACCTTATCGCGAGTGAAAGTGTCAACTTTTGAACCAATAAACCCCACAGTTTTTTGCTAATAACTCAAAAAGTATTTTATCATAAAATTGTGAAATGTGATTCAAAGTAGCCAAAGAACAATGTATTAATCTGATTGAAGAAAACTACTTATATTTCACTTTGATTATATATCTACCTACTTGTAATGTTTGATTTGATTCTTTCAAAATGTTTAGCTTTCACAAAAAAGTGAGCTTGCAATTTTGAACAAGAAATTAATTTCACGAATGAGTAAGTATTTATGACTAATCTAAAACTTCAAATAAGCCATTGGATCCTTGGCCGCTGGCTTTCCGAGTAGCCGGCCCTCGCACTCTTTGCGGAAGGCGCTTTCCTTGGTTTGGGGAACATTTTGCATCTCATGTAACTAACTGGATGTGCCGCTACAGTTCGCACACTTCGCAGGCGTGTTCCTGGATTTCTCACACTCCCTTGTTTCGTGCTGCTTTCCGCACTTCACGCAACGGATCATTGCATGGCAACATCTCTGTGAGTTCCCGAAAAATTGGTATCTGTGGCATAGTACCTCTGTTCTGCATTTGCGGTTCTACCAGCACTACGAGTCTTCAACTTGTATATCCTTTCTTCCGTTTTTGCTAGTTTCATCAGGAAGAGCGGCAACGTATTTCTCGTTTTTTTCTATGCCATTCTGTAACGTTCGTGGACGGTGAATTCCTGATTTCTCAGGTCTTCTTCAACGAAACTCACTCCTACGTTCTCCGGGACTTCTCGGATTCCTCGTGTAACGGGTTCTCTTTTTTTCAGAGTGTGAATGTGGAACTCCACTCTGTTTTCCTCAGAGAATCGGGCGGTCTTCCTCCTCTCTTTTTCCTTCATGGTGTGTCTATGAATACCGTATTCAAGTAAGTTTGCCTCGGTATAGGCTATCTTTCGCCTCTCTAGTTCTGCGGAGATTTCGTTCCACTGCTTGGTGTCTCAACACTATTGGCGGTGGTTTGTATAGTCAGATCTGTTTTTGAAAGGAGTGGTTATGTGACTGGTGCCACGTTGTTCTACTCTTGTCGGTTCTCCCGAGTGTCCATACCTACCTCAGTTTTCTTGCTGACTGCCAGCTCGGTAGCTTTATCTGCTTCTTGCGCCATTCATCGTTTCGTGCCATGGTTAGGCTCGCCTCTGCTAATCTACTTGAAACCGTCCTCGGACTCGTTTTCAGGGCCTCAGGGTCTTCTTCCTCTTCAGAAGACTCCTGTTCGGGCATTTTGGCTTATTCAGCCTCTGTGCTGATCTTGTATGTTATCTGGAACCCCGAAGGCGCCATTTTTCTCATTTCATCAATCAGCCTGAGCATTTATGCTCGAGGTCGGCGTTTGCTTTTTTGAATTGCAGGTTCTCAGCTTTTACGATCTCACAACTGCATTACTGGGCTCAGCTGTCCTTAAAGAACAAGCCTAAGTAAGTAAGGATGAAAACATCTTCAATTACGAAGACGTCATCTATGGGATCGACAGACAACTCAATCCTCGAATCAAAGTTCATCGACATCGATCACAGACGAGATTCGTCCCATGTCTTTCACTGCAGCTTTCACTGCAAAGCAACTGGTTGAAAACCCGAGCCCAAACACAACGCATTTATGATCCAAAACCAGACAGCACTGTTTAAACCCGTCATAGGTTTCGTCAGTGGCGCTAGACTGAACCACAAATATATTGCCGGAGCCTCGTTCATATTTAATATTCGAGGAGTTGTCTATCGCTGTCATAGGTGGCGTCTACATAAGGGGAGACGTCATCGCTCTCACTTTTACATAACCTAGATTATCATATTTATTGGATCATTATCGTGAAAACGATGAAAGTGCTTTTTAAAATCATTGTTTATATTCCAAAAGTACACAGAGACACCAGTAGTAATTACTACTGGTGTCTCTGTACTTTCTGGGTATAAATTAGTATCAAGAAAGTTTCATCAGATATGGATGCTGTTAGTAGTCAAGTCGTCACGAACGACGACAGTACAAGATTGAGACTATGATATTATTCTACCTCGGTCTAGAACCACGTTGTACACTTCTCTATCGCCCTGTAAGGTTATATATGAATCACCTTTCTCTACTGCCAATAAAAATATCAGATGAAAACGTCCTGAAGGTGTACACGGCATCTAAAAATATGTATTTTCGGAAGTCGTAAACATTATGCGGATCGCCGGTGTGAGTAAATTTAAACATGAAAACCGAAACAAACAATTGTCCGATAATGAGGTAGTCCTATCATAAGTATGCAGAACTTACGCGTGACAAGGACCGTTTCGTCTAAATAGATGCCCCGAATTGATATCCCAATTAAAAATAGATCAGGTTGTGAATCAAAAACTATTGACAATCATATATGAAGTGCAACACAACATCTGGAGAAGTATATCACAAATCACATACCTCTCGTTTGAAGAGTAGATTGATTGAATACGACCAGTTTTTGAGTGGTCATTGACCATTACGACACTTTTCAATATTTTTTCAGGTAAGTGACCTCATTTTACTACTTCTATAAGATTGATATACAAATATTCAGTATAAAATTTGTGATGAATATGATTTTCAACGAGTAAACCATTATACTTTTTCCTCGAGTACATTTTTAAGTTATTTATTATATAATATTAGGTAACGATCTCACTTCTAGATGATTATCACCGATCATTATTAAACTAAATGATTGTGTCATTGGAATAATGATTGATAACATGTTAATACTGGAAGACGTCATTTTTGAGTCCATTTTGACAAAAACATCTGTATAAAATATCTATATAAACATCAACTTTTGAAGTATAGGGTGCTGAAGTTTCGACATTATTATTACAACCCTAAATATTTTGGTGATACTTTTTCTATGCACCACGTGAGGTATTTTCAATTATCCTATTCCTTTCTGAGCATATCTGGTACAATAATAATTGAACATAAAAAATAAATTATACCAGATGTTTAAAATATCCACCTGCAAGTATGTATGCATCTGCTCTTTTTCTCTTTAACCTAAGAAAATGCCGAAACTGTTTCTAACAGTTTCACAAGAAACTATGATACGTTTTAAAAACATAGGCTTTCACGGCCGAAGTCACGATTGAAGCGCACACAATTCTAAAGGAAATAGTAGTACCAACCGTTTCGTCTGCTACTGCACGCATACATCACTGAAGACGTCTGCCGCATTAGCGGACGAAACATTTGATACTATAAGTTCCTATAGAGCACGGCCTATTTGGTTCTCTCTAATTGTGATACGGTTTCTCGTTTCTTCTGTATGTCGACACTTGAATGTATTCGAGAATGAAAGTGTCAATTTTTCAACAAATTAACCCATGTTTTCAGGCAGTTTTTCGCGATTAACTCAAAAAGTAAGTATATTATCGAAAAAGTTATTCTTAGCAGAAATGTAGCTTATAAAAAGTTAAACAAAAACTATCAATAGTTGGATTGCTGAATAGTGTTTAAAGTTATTTCGAATATACCTGTAGTTTAACTCTTTGATTCTCACAATTAACAAAATTTGTTTTCTATTACATCAATAGGCATGAACTCCAGAAGAACAAAAGAAAAACTGGTTCATATAATAAACGGTTATTTGGAGAGAAACGGCATCATTGAAAAAGAAGCTTCATGGGAAATAAGAGAATCTACAATGGGAGGTTTTGGAATATTTGCTAAAAAAGATATCGAGGTTGGTGAAATAATTTTTCACGATTTACCCATACTTTTCGGACCGAGATGTCAAGTAGGAACAACAACAACAACTTGTATCGGCTGTTTTTCGTGAGTATTTTTTTAATTGTTACACAGAACAAAATGAAATAATGAGTGTATCTTATAATTTACACGAAGAGTTTCTGTTGTTAAAACTACCTACTTTTCAATTTTGCCTTTTGTACGAGAGAGACATATTTTGAAAATCTACAATCTTAACCCCTTAAAAAATTAGAAAATTCAGTTTCATTTTAATATTGTCATTTTATAATCACCGGTTTATAATTGTTGATGACCTGTATTTATTTGTTATACCAACAAATGTTGGTGGTCGACAAACTCCTGTAGAGATTGCAAAAACGTGAAAAATCAACCCTAGTGAAGAAGTCATGAAAGGTTTACAACAAAGAATATTACTACGAAAGTTGGCAGAAAATAGTGTAGAACATAATATACAGGGTGGCCTACCACATTCACATCGGTATTTCTACGAGAAATGAAGAGAGTTAGGGAAAAACTTTTAGCACAGTCATATGGAGCATGAGGAGCATTTTACAAAATTATTTCTTATGGAACACCCTATATTTTTTTATATTTTTAGATACCATAGACAAAATATAATAAATGTGAGTTACTATTATATTTCCCATACTAACCGTTTCTGAAAAATTTTGTGAGATTCAAAAATACATACCCTAATTTAAAAATTGTTTTCACCCATTAACGTGTAACGAGTTTCTCGTGATTAAATGTACTGCTTAGCTCAAAGGTTAAAGTTAACTGTCACATAAAATTCTTAATGCAATATTATTCAGAGTGGTGAAAAAAATTGCCTCAAAATTTGGACACACATTTAATTAAATAACTTCTTAAAGTTGAATGGAATACCCCGTATTTAGTGGCTTAATTTGACGCAGGAGTAGATTTCCTTTAAAACTATATTAGGGTTCCCTATACCTATCTCTTCTGCTTTTTACACAAAAGGCGTTTTTATATTTTACTTATGAGTAATTTTTTCATCTTAAAAATGGAACACCCTGTGTTGTAATGAAAAGCAAAAAAGCATTTTTGAACTCATTTTATCGAAAAATTAAAGAATCTTAAATAGTTTATTATTTTAATAAATGCTCAAAATGGTGTCCATTATTCTCGATGCATAGGTGAACTCTTCCTTGAAATGAGTTCTGAACTCTGGATAATATATTTTGCGATGTGGAATGAAACGATCTTCTTATTCGTACTTTCATATCCTGAGGTGTCGTTGGTAGTGTATCGTAACAATACTTTTGATATATCCCCATTAAAAATAGTTAGGACTTGTAAGGTCCAGAGACCTGGCTGGCCAGTTCTGTGGACCTCCTCGTCCTATCCATCTATTTGGATATTGTCGATCTAACTCGTTTCTAACACGTCTATCAAAGTGTGCAGGAGCACCATCTAGCTGCATCCACATCCGTTGACGAATAATAGGAGGTATACTTTCCAACAGCATAGGCAAATTATCCCTAATAAATCCGAGAAACATGACGCCGGTTAAATGACCATTCCCACACATTAACATGATTCTTTGGATACTATGTCTGCTTATTCAAGGTGTTTCACATATTTTTCGTTGACTTGAGTGAGGGTGTTCAATTACAGATAACATCATTAAATATTCATTTTCCTCAATTCCAGTCACCGGTTTTTTGCCGTTCTTGCATTTTATAAGATAGACTGCCTGTTCTTCGGAAAAGCTGCAACAACTTTCCCAATGAACGCTTGTTAGGATGACTCTTGTTAGGATACCTTTGGATATATACTCCTGACGCTAATAACAATTTTTTTCACACTCACTGATTATCAAAATTGTATCAATTCGTTCTTTCTGGGGATAAGTTCTCGTTTTACAATATATCAAAATGATATAAACAATGATAATGGTTTGATTAACAAGTTGCGTTACTGTCAAATACTTTTTGTTTCATAATAATAATTAACGTCATCTACCTATTATTATTGAAAAAATAGTAGACTAGGTTTTATAGGAAGTCGTAAATGAATGTTTTTATCGACCCCATATTGTAATTTTGGTATTTATTTCACTATGCCAAGAAACAAGTGAATATAACATAATTTGCTTCAATAATTAAGACACATGCATCTTCTTATTTTGAATAATAATAATAATAATATGGTGCATGGGTACAAACCGTGTTAAAATGGAGGATATAAAAGATAATATGTATATAAAAAAGAGTAAAAGTCAAGTTTATAAAAGAGTAAACATAAAAAGTAACAACTTAAGAGCTCCTTAATGAATAAAGATAAAAAATATGCGTAAGTCAGCTAAAAGCTATCGTTAAAATATCCATCCAAAGTATAATAGGGTCTATCAGATAGAAATTGTTTGACTAACTTCCTGAATTGGAAGTCATTTATATTGGCAGATCTTATGTCCATAGGCAAATGATTGTACATTTTTCCACCGTTGTAAAATATGGAGTCTCTGGTAATGTTTTTAGTTGGCACAGTGAGTTTCAGAGTGTGTCTGCNTCCATGATGGAGCACACAAACATCAAAAATTCTTGAACTTCCTCGGAAAGGTCTAACTTCAACACTTCTTTTATTATTCGAACTTCTTCGCCGTGTTGTCTTCCAGAGTGGTACTTCAAATTTCGTACGACTTCCAGGTCTTCTTCGCTCAGAAGAAGAGATCTTAGCGGAGTCAGGCATCTGGTAACTTCTGAGGTACTGTTCCCCAAATCACGGCCGTCTCTGAATCGCTGGATGAGGGTACAATCTTTGTAATGGTTTGGGGAATTTTGGCAAGTTTGGCAGAGAAGCAAGCCGCATTTGTTGATACATTTGTTCAGGTTCGAATTGCTGAAAACGAGAATAACATACTTCAAGTATTATAATGAACTACACCTCCACAAATACGCATTGAATACGCATTCAAATCACTGTTGATAAAGTTACTATGTTAGCGAAGCATGTCATGATATATTTTTCAAATAAAGTTTGTGGAGGTGTAGTTCATGAAATTTTGAATAATCACAACAAATGTTCAAAATGACTCTGCCGAAAAAATATAATTTAGATCAGGAGATTTTGAAGGCCAGTAAATCGGTTCATTATTCTGGTCAACTTCGTACCTCATTTGTTATATTTTCTACAAAATGTCACAGACACCCATCATATTGTAGCCAAATTTATCAGTGTATCAGCAAGACGGGTGAAAAATCGTTTATAGAAAGGTGTAAGGCTCATATAAGGGCACAAGGCCGCCATTTCAAACAATTGTAGTAGGTAGTTATTTAAAATTGCCATAAACCATTATAATACTTGAAGTATGATATTCTCGTTTTCAGCAATTCGAACCTGAACAAATGTATCAACAAATGCGGCTTGCTTCTCTGCCAAACTTGCCAAAATTCCCCAAACCATTACAAAGATTGTACCCTCATCCAGCGATTCAGAGACGGCCGTGATTTGGGGAACAGTACCTCAGAAGTTACCAGATGCCTGACTCCGCTAAGATCTCTTCTTCTGAGCGAAGAAGACCTGGAAGTCGTACGAAATTTGAAGTACCACTCTGGAAGACAACACGGCGAAGAAGTTCGAATAATAAAAGAAGTGTTGAAGTTAGACCTTTCCGAGGAAGTTCAAGAATTTTTGATGTTTGTGTGCTCCATCATGGATGCGAACGCTTTCGAAGTTGTTGCTCAACATGGAGATAACCAAGTGAGCATGAGAGGTAAGTTCTTCTATTCAGTAGTTACGAAAACGATGTAAGAATTTCAGAGTTTATACTGATGACCAAGTTTTCGAAGTGACAGTTACTTTTACATAACGAAATATTATTTTGAAAAATCGAGATATCAACTACCTCTGCTCTTCAAAAGTCAACCTCAAATTTTATTTGTATAAACTTACATTTTAGATCCTACTCCCAAATTTGATTATTCAAATGCCACACAACTATTTATCAAAGAGTTTTCAAATTTCCAGCTTCAATCCCCTGTGTGAAAAATTTTCATAAAATAGTTCAAAGAAAAATATTTTATGATATTTTTCAGTTGAAACAGACATTTCAGCGAGTTATGAGTCTAACTAAAGTTGTTTTCCTTCTTGGGCTACATGATAGTTATAAAAAAGTCTTTGATTTAAATATTTGCAATAAAGATCATTTTCATATCTCACTAAATTTGTAAAACAAAACCTTTTATTGAAACTATTGTTGTTTTTTTTTCAATTGAATTTATTCAAATACTAACCCATTATTCAAAAAAATTAAAAGTGTTAGTTCATAAGGAAGAAATAACAGTGTGAAGTGCGATGAATTGAATTACTAGAGTTTCTTTGAAAATAATCACCTTAAGTTTTGATGAATGATATATCAAAATAAAAATTGTGTAATATACGTTTTATATTATTGAGGTTTCCAGAAAAGTAATGTAAACAATTCGTGATATTTATTCTAACTTGTTAGGAAATCCTAATTCTTTAATTGCGTGGGATTTCTGAACAATATTTTCCGTAACGTGGAAAAATATCAAACCAATAAATTTCCATGTTTTTCTCATTGGAATAACAGGAAAATGATTCACTTTGAAAGTTCCACGGATTTGTAGGTTTCTGAAGAAATTAAACTGATGTTTTTGGTTTTAAATAAGGTGCTTTAAATCAATGATAAATATGAATCTCTGTCTATGTCAGCAGGACACGGTGGAAATGAAGGATGGTGAAAATGAAAAAAGCAGAGAGAAAGCTTTTCTGAAATTTGAGCAGTCAACTTGTTGCGTTGATTGCTTTTTCATAATATTTCTGCTAAAAAAACACAATTGATTTTATTATATGATTTGTTTACAACAGTTCAGGTGACTAAAGAAAAAAGTATTCATAAATAACAAAAAGAAAAATATTCAGAAATATTATGAAAAAGCAATCAACGCAACAAGTTGACTGCTCAGTTGACTTAACAATAAAAGTACCTATTCGTCAATAACAAAAAGAAAAATCTCCAGAACAGCATGAAATGTAGGAAGTAAATAGATTAGTCAGAAAAAAAGATGAACAAATATTGTTTGTAATTGTGCCAAAACTTTTAATAAAAAATCTTTTTCATTTAGAACAAACATATTTTTTAAAATGATTTTCTATGTTTCTGATTGTCAAGATGCATAGAATACCATTTATCTGATCACACGGACCCCTTTTCCATGTGAAATATTTTGTGAAAAAGTCTCGACCTACGGGCACTCTTAATTGAAGAAATCCAACAAATTTCAGCATTTCATTCACTGAGTAAAATTCAAGCGACACAGCTTGACAATGTCAAATTGGGTCAACGTCATAGAAACCCTGTCAATTCTAGCGTCGAAAGTTTTTGACAAAACAAAAGAGAATAGGTGAAAAAAGAAAAGACCAGAGTTTTCATGTATTTTAAGTAATTGTGGTGATTGTGTACCTCTGATGGCCATGGCCCCCCAAAATTTACCAATAAACGTTGGTGTAAATATCAAAGAAGGAAAGAAGATTAGTATCCGACTCTTTCACAAACAATATTAATTCATGAAGTGACCATCTTAATTATGTTTGGATTAATTTAACACCGGGACAGCGCGTACGCAGTCCCGACTACCAAAAATTACGCGCCCGAGTTATCCGCATTAGGGATAATCGCAGGTGTCAGCCCAACCGAAGTGCAATGGAAGGGCCTCGTCCTGGGGGAACCGCCTTGTTGATCACGGTTGACCCCTACGCCAGGTAAGTATGCTTGTTGCTGGTCTTTCACGAGTATTCAACAACAATCACTAAATATGAACGAGTGGAGCGTAGCTCCTGCCATCTGTCGGAATTAATACCAGAAGGCTCATACGGCTTCGGTCAGACCCGAATAGTCTATATACAAAGCCCGAATGAATCAATAAATGTTGTGAAATATATCAGCAACAGCACCAGTACAGAAGTAAACACCTTCTGTACGGTGTTTGAGACTACTATTTAAATTTGAATGGTCGAAAGTAGCCGATTTCATTCCTGAGATCGGCACGTTGGATCACCTGATATAACCCCCTCAAATTATTTTTGTGAAGATGAAACTAAACTGCTTTAGTTTGATCTTCCTCTTGAAGATGATAACTTATTGATCAACATACGTGTCGAGGTGTTAAAAATAACAGTTTGGTGTTGGGATAAAACTCCAGTAATATTCATGAAGACACCAAAGGTTAAAAACAGTGCATTAAATGATGTATTCCTGCGACAATTTTAAGAAAAAAAGTCTATATAAATTTGTGTCCGGAAATGCTCAGTTTCGGAGATAGAGGGTGTAGAATTTAATTTTTTTTTTTGTAATGTTCTCAGCAACTTCACTTAGCTCCCTAGGGGCTAAGTAATATACATCAATATAGAAAATTGTAAATATTTTGAAAACGATCACCTCGAGAGTTGTTGAGGAAGTGAACTTTTTTTTTATGGAAAAAGTGTGGGAAATGGGTTCTTTTATGAAAAGTACCATAAGTTTACTGACAAAAAAGTTAGGGCAATTTGAAATAAATAGTGACAAGTACGCAGCGCCCTCTAGATTATATATGAAAATGAATACGAAATTATGATTACCCACGTCAAAAAAACCCAGGTACCAAATTTCGTGCAAATAACTTATTTATTACAAAAGTTATTTTAAAAAAACGTACAAAAATATTCATTTTCAACACCCTGTATCTCCGAAAGGAAGCATTTTTTCTTAAAATTGTGTCAGGAACACTTGAATATTTCAACGTACTTACGTTGATGAGTAGCAAATTTTATAAAAGCCATACAGGTTATCACAATGCATACAGAGGTCACTTTTCTAAATTTTTTTTTTTCCTATTTTTCTAATCTATTTTTGTTGTACACTGTTTGGTTAGTAAAGATCCCAGTTATAATTAGTATCTAAATTTGTAAAAGCCTTACAATACTCTTTGACAGATTATTTCCCACCCGAGTTGAAAAATTTACATTTCCAATATTTTCACATGCATCATTTTCAACTGACGGTATCAGGCTGAAACTCATTTTTCACTTCAGGAGTATGAAATTCATACATTTTTAATGAGTATCATATGACCCTCTGAAAATTTCTCATGGGCTTGCGGTTTTGGGCTACTCATCATATCAAGCGGCTAGTTTCTGTACCATTCATAACATAGAGATAGATAGATAGCTATATAGATGTTTATTTTACTACATTATGTACAAAGATACATTTATAGCAAGTCAGTTCCTTAGTACTAGGTTACAATAAAAGATTTAAAAATATAAATATAAATAAATGAGAGGGTTTGACCTCAATGTCTAGACTAGCTGGCTATATAGAGTAATCATTAATCAAATATTCATTAACAGAGTAAAAACCGTACCTATTGTAAAAGAGATTTTTTTATCGCAGATTTGAATTTTATTCTGTCAAGATTTCTTGTCTTCTCAGTCAATTTATTATAAAGTTTAATATTGGGAGAATACTTCAATCTTTGTATATATATACAATGCTTCAACACATTTATTGATTCGTACGGATCTGACCGAAGCCCTTATAAGCCTTCTAGTACTAATTCCGACAGATGGCAGGAGCTACGCTCCACTCGTTCATATTTAGTGATTGTTGTTGAATACTCGTGAAAGACCAGCAACAAGCATACTTACCTGGCGTAGGGGTCAACCGTGATCAACAAGGCGGTTCCCCCAGGACGAGGCCCTTCCATTGCACTTCGGTTGGGCTGACACCTGCGATTATCCCTAATGCGGATAACTCGGGCGCGTAATTTTTGGTAGTCGGGACTGCGTACGCGCTGTCCCGGTGTTAAATCAATCCAAACATAATAAAGTCTGTTACTTCTACATAAATAATTATTCTATGTGAAAGACTCGGATACTTGTCTTCTTTGAGATTTTCACTAACGTTTATTGGTAAATTTTGGGGTGCCACAATCATCACAATTACTTAAGATACATGAAAACTCTGGTCTTTTTACCTATTCGCTTTTGTATTGTCAAAAACTTTCGACGCTAGAATTGACAGGGTTTCTATGACGTTGACCCAAACCCTATTATTGATAGATAGTGCAAGAATCCAAATTTGTCGCGCGTATTTTGTTGGAATCATTAATTAATGAACCAATTTTTTTATCTTTCACTTATTATAATATCAATTCATTTCCAAATGTTAACAACACTGAAAATTGAAGTACCAACTTGACATTGTCAAGCTGTCACTTAAGTTTTACTCAGCACCCATGTGTATGAAATACTGAAATTTCAAGAACTTCTTTAAATGGTTTTATTTAGCTTGCCCTGTTTATTATTTGTTTGGATCAAATTTGGTACTTGAAGTTTGAATCCCTTCCTGTTGACAGATTGATCTGAAATTTGGTACACACATATTACGTTTTGATGACAATACAATTCGTTGTAAATACAAGATGGCCGCAGCTACAAAATGGCGAATTACATATATTACCTTGTAACAACTGAGGCACTAATTGAACTAAACAAAATGAGAAGAATTGAGTAACGAAAGTAGAAACTAAAAACTTCAAAATAAAATGTGTGAAAAAAAAAATTAAACGGTTGTATTTGAAAAAAAATTATGTAGATAATATGCTGAAAACTAAAAAATTATTCGTAAGGTCCTACATAGCAGTCATCACACCACTGTTTTCAGAAATCTACGGTATTGATCAGATAAAAAAATAATAAAATCGTTTGGCGTAGTATTTATATATTTACTCAGGTTACGCTACGCCCAACGATTTTATTGTTTTTCATCTGATAAATACCGTAGATTGCTGAGAAGAGTGGTGTGATGACTGCTCCCTAGGACCTTCAGAATTATTTTTTAGATTTTAGTACATTATCTGCATCATTATTTTTTATTCACAATAAAATCGTTTAACATAAAAAAAAATACTTATTTCATTTCATCAAGGGTGCCCACAGGTCGGGAGTTTTTCACGAAATATACCTATTACATGTGAAAGGGGTCCAAGTGATCATACCAATGATATTTTATGTACCTTGACAATGGCAAACAATGAAGATTATTAAAAAAAAATTTGAATGGAAAAAATTGATTGATTGAAAATTTTCGGCACAATTACAAACAATATTTGTTAATCTATTTGTCTGACTCACCTCTTTACTTCCTACATTTTTATGTTGATTGGTGCTAGAAAATATTTCTGAACATACTTCTTTTTGTTGTTTATACCTACATACTTCTTTCTATAAAACTAAGAACTGGTCAGTTGCAAATAAATCAAATAATGAAATTAATCATGTTTTTTTAGATTCCATAAATACTTCATTCCTGTTTTTTTTTTTATTTTCAGTATCCTTCAATTCACATTTTCGTGTTGACAGGATTTCATATTCATCATGAATTTCAAGCACCTTTCAAAAAATGTATCCATCCTCACAACTTTCACATTTATAATATTAGTATAGATTATTTTATGATATACCTACTTATATTGGATAGATCGTGTTCAGTGATTCACCTGGTGTATCAGTAGCCATTCAATGCAATCTTAGTGACAAATTGTTCCAAATTTCAGTTCAGTTAATATTTAGAAAAAACAAAATCTTTTAATCGTCCCTACGACTTCAATCCGGAAATAATGTTTTATTTTACACAGTTTTGTCAATGGCTTTATGGGCAGTACTCATATTAATTATTAGCTACTATCAACCTCATAAATATGACCATGACCACGTTTATACCCTACTTCAACACGTTTATATATAAGTATTCTGCTACTAATTCCGACAGATGGCAGGAGCTACACTATACTGGTTAATATTTAGTGATTGTTGTTGAATACTCGTGGAAGACCAGCAACAGGCATACTTACCTGGCGTAGGGGTCAACCGTGATCAACAAGGCGGTTCCCCCAGGACGAGGCCCTTCCATTGCACTTCGGTTGGGCTGACACCTGCGATTATCCCTAATGCGGATAACTCGGGCGCGTAATTTTTGGTAGTCGGGACTGCGTACGCGCTGTCCCGGTGTTAAT